TTAAATGTTGTGATGAAGGAGGTAATTCCAGCTCCTGAGGAAGAACACTAGGCTTTTCAGTCTCTTTACAACCAGAAATCGCTGGTTTTTCCTCAGAAGAGGACAATGGATCACTGACAGAAACATGATTTAGAGCAGAACCTCTACGAGCACTTCTCCTCAAAACTGTCTCTGTAGTCGTAGATTTCAAATTATCCAGTAGTTTTCTCCTCTTTCTACGGCTACTTTTTTTAATGCATGGACTTCTTGAATCGCCTAGGTTTCCATGAATCCTTGGAGTGCGAGCCTCAGAGAGACTATCTTTTACCAGAACTTCCACCAATCCACTATCTTTAATGCAGCCAGTGTCAAAAATCCCAAGCGAATTATCAGCCTTCAAATCTCCACTAGAACAACGATTTTTATCATCAAGTCGTTCACCAGCTGCACAGTCAATGGGGTCATCAACGTTCATCATGGGAACATCTTCATTAATATCAATATACACTTCCTTACACGTCCCATTAGAATTACCATCTTCGGTAATCTTTTCTTCAGCATCTCCACTCCTCTCTTTTTCTAGACTTCCTTCAATCATCTCAAACTTGGGATTAACCTTAAATTTTTCTTCACAGTCACATTCTGTATCCTTAAATTCCTCATTAACTTCTAAATTGAGATCGAAATCACAGCCCCTCTTCTGGGTTCCATGGATAACCAAAGTTGAACCGCCCAAACTAATATCCCCATTCCGATTCTCAACACAGTCATCATTTGCATCCAAATTCAAATCAATACAATCTCTTTTCTCCACAACTCCCTTCATGCCAACATTTGAATTAACATTCAAGTCACATCCATCATTCAAATTCAAATTCAAATTAAACCCAGCATTCAAATCAATCCCATTTTTCAAATTATCTACTCGATTCACATCCCCATTAGTAATCAACCTAGTTCCCTGTTCTAGGGTCTTATTCACTACATTTCTAGAATCAACATTTTCATTCAAATTCCCACTAACCGCCACATTTTCCCTCAAATTCCCTCCAAACCTCTGTTCAACTTCCAATTTTCCCTCAGACCCATCACTCAAATTACAATTTTCATTCAAATCCCCATCAAACCCAGAAGCATTTCCAAGAGCAGCATTACCTCGAATTTCTAGCTTCCTTTCAATTCGCCGCCGTTTTTTGGGCTTTCGGCCCGGTTTGGCGGCGGCCTCCACGAGGTCAACCTCAGCACCGCAACCAAGGAGCAAAGAGACCTCATCGAAGCTCAACTCCTCAGTATTTCCATCTTCATAGACGACCTCGAACAACCCAGATGTGGCGGCGTACGATTTCACAGTTCCGGCGGAAAAACCGTGGCCTTTGAGCTCCTTCTTCACACTTCTTCCCACGAACTCCATTTCCTGTGATCCGCAGCCCGAACCCGGTTCAAAAATAGGAAGAAGACCCTCTGCTTTTCTCTCTCTCTCTCTCTCTCTCTCTAACTGCCTTTTCTTTTGGGGTTGGAGAGAGAGAAGTGAGAGGGAAATTTGGTAAACTTTCTCTCTCTAGAAACGCCTTCAACGTGCATAGAGATAGAGGGAGACAAAATGGATTTGGGTTCCTTTCTTCCCCCTCTATCTAAAACTCCTTGACTCTGACTCCAATTTCCGAAGAGCAGAGAGAGAGGGGAGAGAAAGTAAGCGCAACTACTCTCTATATCTCTCTAGAAAAATAAGGTTGGTGAGAAACATCGGAAATTCGTCTTCCTTTTTCAGGGTGGCATTTCCCCCTTTTTTTTTTCTTTTTTTTTTTTTTCTTTTTTTTCTTTTTTGATTGGGAATTCTTAAGAATATAAAAATTAAAACAAAAAAGTAGATGCCTTGCTCTAAAGTTTACTGTGAAATATAGTTTTAATCATGTTTGGAGACGGGTTTGATGCTTTTGGTTTCGTAAAAGGTAATTATTATCCGAGGTTTCCACTTTATAGTCTTTTTATAATTAAGTTAGAATTAAAGATAAAAATGAATGAATGAGATGAAAATGAATAATTAAGTCGAGACACGATGAGCTAAAGAAAAATGTCTTAACTATTATATTCACGTATTTCTACTTGCTTCATCTTCTTTAATAAGAGCCGTACCTAGTAGACTTGGCTCTTACATCTTACAGAAGGTTGTTAGTTGTGAGTGATTATCAAGTTTGAACTCCACAGCCTTTTACAGGAGCAGTGTATTAAGATTTAGATGGATTTTTGTTGAGTTTTTTATTGATAAACTTTTATAGATTTAAGTAGATTTTTCTGGACTATTATAAACTCCATCAAATTTCATAGACTTTGTGATATACTGTTGTGGAAAGAAAATAGTTATATGATAGACTTTTACAGAATTTTAGAGAGTTTAATTGCTAGAATTTTTTAGAATTCTATGGATTGTCAGACTTTTTAATGACCAATTTATTAATAAGCATTATTATTTTTATGTCTTTACTATTGAAATTGTGATGATGTGGCAACGTTAGTTGGTAGAAGTATCATGCGATGATTGTCAGCAAGATGGTGGTAGTAAAGTTAGTGTCTTTAGTGGCGGTGATAATAGTAGGGGTAATGATTGTAGTGGCAGGGGTGTGGTTGGGGTGGTGGAGCAGTAAGGATGGGGGCAATGGTGATGACATGGTAGAGGTGGCGGTCATGGTGATGGTGGTGTCGATGGTGATCATAGTAAATTTGGAGATGATGCTCATGGCAGTGACGATGGTGGTAGTGGTGGTTGTGGGGTGGAGGAGTGGTCATGGTAAGACGGTGTTGACGACATGATGGTAGAAGTGATAATAATAATAGTCATTACACTATGGTGGGTAGTAGAGTTTATCATTAGAGAATTGAGAAACAACGAAATCCATCAAAATCCATGACTTATTAAAATCCTTTAAAATCAATGAAAATTTGAATACACTTGGATTTTTGCAAAATCACAAAAAATTATAATTGAATACCACAATCGTCTCAAAAAATTCGTGTATATTACTTTTACAATGTAGAAAGGCAATCAAAGTCTGTTATGTGTACGTGTTGTTTGTTCATATATAAAAGAGGAGCAGAGCCTAGCACACAAACAAATTAGATAACATAACTTGCATAAAAATTAACACGAGAAACAAGATCTTCTCAAACCGATGCAGCAAGGTGATGGCGTTGGTCTCCAGGATATGAAGTTGAGCTGAACTCTTCTGAGGAACTCAATACGCACAAAATTATGTCGAGAAGCCGTGTATCTACTCCCACCCTTTTGTTGATTTATATACCATTCCAAGATGACTATGCCCTTGGTCATTTATTTAAAGAAATAAAAACAAATAATTGATATCAAAGGAACACTGCTATAAATTGACACACTGGCTTCTGGGTTTGCAGCGAGACGATACGGCGCATAGCTTCTGTGTTCCGTTGCTCGTAAACGATAATCTAGTAAAGAATAAAGGCGAAGAGATTTGCTTGCACATGCCGCTTTGTAGAATCATCCTCGTATTTGGAATCTTCATCTGCATTATTGATCACGTGAAGCTCCTCAAGCGTTAAGCCTCTAAGGGTATCCACACTAATAAACTAACAACAAATGATGGAGCGATTGATCTGAATGTGCTTTTGGCTTAGAGTATTTCTCTTTTTACTATGATGGACAAAACTGATTGCATTAACAAGGGGCATATATAGATAGACTCCTTTGCCACTTAAGATGGTCAATGTCAGGATGAATTTCCAAACGACTATGACCTTTGTCACCTCAATAAATCCTTGTATGATCTCAAATAGGCATTTCGTCAATTTCTTAAATTTACTGAGGCCATTTAGGCCACTCTCCTTCGCATGCAACTATGCAAGTGAAGTACCCTTTTTAATGTTCTCTTGATATATGCAGGTGACATACTAATTACTGGGAATGATGACAAGGTCATTTACCCATCTCAACAACTTTCGAATTGAAAAGCTCGGGAACCTGAAATTCTTATTTGGGATTGAAGTTTCTCGTTCCAAAAAAGATGGAAAACAGTTTCACAAGCAAACCTCACGTAGTTTGCTGCGCCTTCTCGAACTTCCACATCCAAAAGATACAAAAATTTATCGAGACAACAAAGCCGCTTGAGACAATTGTTAATCCTGTCTTTCACAAGCAAACCTAATGTACTCAACAAATTTTTATTTTATCCGAGACAAAATACAAGGTAGTTCAGTTGTTACAAAATATGTTCCTTCTTCTCCCACCAAAACCCCTTGGTAAAGATTTATTCTTATCTATGTTGCACGAGTTGGGAGATCTCAATCTTCGCTCTCCGACTTGTTGGAAAGAAATTAATCAACAATTTAGAAAATAGAATGAAAACGTTTATTATTTACCTTTATTTAACAGCTTAACCGTAGGATGAACGTTGAACCAAGTTGTCATACCAAGTTCAATGAAATGTGTACAGCCGTATTCTATTTTACCAGTCGCTTCACTTACTAATACTACTCTAGCAAATAGCAATGCTCTATATTTTTAACCAACATTTAGTATTTTATTTTATTTCAGATGAGATTGAAGCATTAAGAGAGAGGTGAGAATTCAATCCAAAACCGTTTGTCTAATTAATTATTACAATGAGATTTCAATGTTTCTTAGAGAACAAAGTGTTCGTTAATTTCTTGGAACTTAGTTAAATGTCTCAAATATTTCCAATTGGGCTAATATTTTGCAAGAATAATCTATGAGATGCAACTTAATAAACAGATGGTTCAGATCGTTAAAGTTCGATGCAATGTGAGCTTTTGGGAAAGTTTCAGCCAACTCTGAAATTTGATGTATTTTACACAAACCTTGGTGGTAAGCTTGCAACCAATATTCACAAAGGACTAAAAGGCTAACGTGGGACGTTTTTTGTCCATACGACACCTTTTACACGGTCGGAACTACGATTCTAAGCACCAACACTTGAACGCGGTATGAGACGTCCAACGAAAACATCCAACGCATCAACATACCGAGCGGAAAATTATCGGAGGCAAAGACAGTCCATTTCATATATGCAAAACCCAGGACAACGGGAGAAGCAGCTGAATTGTAACAAAGTGCCCCAATCCATAAGAGTTTTCAGAATACTAAGCCTCTAATTAGTTGATTTGGTTACACATCTGCAACTAGCCAAACAAATCACCTAACACTCGTTATACATGCTGTAGCTAGTCTCATCTCCTTCGAATCTATAAGGTTCCCTCATCGACGTTAACATGCATTGTTGCTTGCTTGGAAAAAAAGAAAAGGGGGAACGGGAGGGGGATAAGTTAGAAGTTTCACTACCCATCAGTTGCTCGACGAAGACCACTATAAACTGATTTACGAATAAGAGGATGCACGTCTTCGGTTAGAACCTCTGCATCCAACTTCTCCATGTGAGGCCAAATCTGCCAGGTACATATACAAGGTCAGAGATTCAGTAGCAAAGAATATTAAGCATGCCTATAAAACTTCACCCAAAAATCCGGAGAAAACAGTCAATTATACCAGAAAAGGGCGGGGGAGGGCAGAAAGGAAAACAAACAAAAATGGGAAGTCGCAAAAAGAACGAGGAGCAACACTCTTTACCTCAGAAGCATATTGCCTCGAGAAGGCCTTGAGGTAGCCTAAAGTCGATAGACACCACTGCTCTTTTTCACCTACATTATAAACATTACTCGTCTTCCCACCATTCAGTTCACTGCAAAAGTTGAGAAAACTAGTTAAATACACTTGGATATCATGTCACACGATGTCAAAACAATTTATTGATTTATGATAAAAAAAAAACAAGATATCTTATGAAAATAAAGGAGACTACACGAAAATAAAGCTAGTCAACTATGAAGGATTACGATACATAATCCGTATCCCAATTTCTCCCCTCCATAACATGCTTCATCCGCTCTAACCTTCTAGTCAACATGTTTTTCATTTACATGTAATACATGATTTTTTATTTTAGTGAGGAGAAAGAAATACCTTTTCTTGGGTATTCCATTCTCATTGTCGACATCCATTGCGGATGATTCCTCAAGGTCAACGGCCATAGAATCTGCATGAATCCCCTTTAATCCCTGCAATGTAACACATTTGGATGCTTCTGGCAGCCGTTCCGTCAACGCATTGAGGAAGTTTTTGTACAAGGAGAAGAACAATGCCTGCATGTGAGCATCATGGTTAATACAATGAAATGATTAGGAGTGCCAACAGCCTGATTAATTAAAAGTTCAGATTATAACATGTGCCTACAAGACCAAAATATATACATCATTTTTACATCTATCGTAGGAAAACGATTCAACAGATGAAAAGGACTATTCCGTACCTCAAATTCATCAAGGGATCGGGCTAGAAGAGCCTCCTTAGCCTCTAAAGATTCATGTACAGACACGGCATCCTCCTTAGCCTTTTCAGCACGTGACTTCAAACGCTTCAGCCTCACAGGATTTTCCCCCATAACAGGTTCACCATCCATGAGTGAAAGCTTTGATTCAGACGCTTCTAACTCTGCTTTCACCGTTGCTGCAGCTTCTTCAGCTGATACAACACTCTTTTTCATAGATGAAATCTCCTTCCTTAGATCACATACACGGTTATATGTCTTGCTAACTGCATTTCTTAGTATCTGTTGAGAGGATAGGGACAAAATGGTATAAGCAATCAAGAAAAACGCGTATGAAGATATAAGCATAGAAAGGATAGTCTATATGGCAACAGCTCCAGGTCAAAAAGAATAAATACATTAGTAAACAACTAATATAAAAAATTAATTTCACATTCTTACGAAAAGGGAAGATGGGAAATTGGGAATGCAGCAGAGCATATGAAGAGTGCTCAACTGACAGAAAGCCAGTACAATATTGAAGTGATACGTCCCCAGTTAATATATACAAAACAATTTTTACAATACAAGAGCGGACAACAAGTCTGCAAAAGCGCAAACAAAGCCAGGATAAATAGTAACACCACCCTGACACTTAGAAACTATGATAACACCAGAAAACTAACTACTAGCAGCATTCCAACTACGCCAAACTTCTGAAAAAGAAAAATCTCTAGATTCTGAAGTAAAAGATGCCCAAGAGATGACAATAACCGAGTTTTGTCCCAAAGATAGCTGAAACTAATGGCCCAGAAGATAGCAGTAGTCCTAAAAAATCAGCCTGTTTCTTTCCATCCAAATGGCCCAGAAGATAGCTGAAACTATAAAACCCCATAAGACCTTGGCTTTCTTCCACTTTCCTGGTAATTTATGCTTCTCTACCATAAAAGGTAACAATCCATGGGTAAAACCCAGCTGATACCAAACTCCCTAAACAATCAAGTATATATTTAAAGCTACCAGGCAGTGAAGAAAACAAATGATCAATACACAACAAATACATACGTGTGTTTCAATGATCCGAACTGTATATTTTACTCTGTAGATGGTTCAGTGAAATTATTGGCATCTCAACCATCACACTTGACCGATCTGAGAAACAAAACCCCATTTGAAAACCTTAGACGAAAATTTATGTGACAAAATGTTCTTTTACCAAATATCTTGCATGTCATGTTGCCACTTTGTCAACCATTGATCATGGGGAATCATGCTGCGTCAAGTGTCAAAGAACATTTCATAAATTTGGTAAAAGAACGTTACCCTATATATCCCTGGTAAAAGAACGCTACCCTATATAAGTATTCTAAAAAAAAAAAAACTAAATGTTTACCAGTAATTTTGTTTTAAAAGAAAACAAATTGAATTACCATAAACAAGAAATTTACAAGGACACAAGATGGCCACAACTAGTAAATCTTTACTTTGTTCAATATTGTTTAAATGTTAACCAGTAAATGTAGGTTGGTTTTGAGTTCTAACTGATACCAGAAACATTCACAATTATTCTTGAAGCCAAGTTGATGAACACGTATGTTCATTTATTTGACCCTTAGCAGGGTAAATTCCCATTATGCAAACAAAGGCCATGTATACAATAAAAATGGTAAGAAAGGTGAAGTTTGGAAATATAGCAAAGATGAATCAATCTGGTTGACTAAATCCTTTACACAAATCAAGAAGGCCACAATAAGAGAAAACAATTGCAGTGTATTAGTTATAATATCCACCATACCAACATCATGCAAGCAAGAATATGGAAAGCTCTAAAATTTGGAAGATCTCACACAAAGTAAAATTACAACAGAAAAACATTCGAGAATATAAGAATGCAGGCCAAAACAAGGGAAAACCTGCAAAGCGCTATTTCCTTTTTCTTTCTTTTTTCATTTTGATAAGTCTCCTGTTTTAACAATCATCCACATTTGCCACTAGAGTGGCATTATCTTGAATTGCCTATCTTAGCATAATGATTTTGAGTGTGACCAAATTTAAAGCTTATACTATTTCAGTTTCCATTTGTTTGAGCAAGGTAGATGCCATATTAACTTTACCATCTTACATTAGAAGCAGCTGTATAGATTTGTACAACTCTGAAGTGTTCTGTTCATGTTGTTTTCAAGGTAGATGCCAATAAGGTAAAACATGACCTTACAACTACCAAGTACACCAAAACTCAATCATGCGTTCATAACGCAAATAGTTATAACAGCAGAAAGACAAGTTTAAGTTTAATGAAATAGAAATGCTGTAAGCATACCTCCCATGGACGATCTGATATATGAAATTGCTCAATGTTTGCAGGTAAAAAGACCCATCTGACAATGGCCAGATTAGACAAAAGTCGATAGCCCATCATCCTATCTATTGCAATAGCAGTCATTTGAGAATTATTCCTCCAGTAAGAATCAACCTCATTTATCAGCATGACCTGCTTATCCTGGTCAGCACATAGTTTTGCAATGACTTGGCCATATCTCTCCAATACGGTAATCAAATGAGTAAAACTTTTAGATCCAATGTCGAGGAGAGTTTGCACAACCACATTGAGGGTAACTTCCATCCCATGAACAGGAAACACACTTTCCTCTATCCATACTATCATTTCACGGGCAGATGCCCTAGCTTTCACCATGTTTCTGAGGTCAGAAGAAAGTGCATTTAGCTCATTTCCTTCGCTGGTTTCTTCAACACTAAATTTGAAATTCGGTGCTCCCTTGGGAGGAAGCAACTCTTCTAGACCAGGGGCATGCTCAATACTCTAAAAGGAATATAATTAAAGAACTATATTAGAAAAAGAATAACCAAGGAACAAATAGTGATTGCATAACATCCTTTAAACCGAGAGTTAATTTAGTTCAAGGTGTCAAGCCTTGTGCTGTAAAAACCTCAATTCTAGTTATCAATATCCTTAAGAATGGTTAAGTACCTGCTTCACTTTATCCCAGTAAGATAAACGGACTTCTCTCTCCAGCACCTCCTGAACAAAAACACGCTGTGGGGCCCATTTTGGAAGGTCTAAGACATGAGCCCACTCTTCCCATGGCCAGATGAACTGAAAGTTTGATCTGCATGGTCAGGAAGGCATAGTATATTAGGAATTATGAAGGTTAACAAATTCAGTATATTAACTAAAATCCAGATTCTATCCATGTCTACAGAGCTAGATAGCTCCGCAGCTACGTTGCATGGATACAGTTACGGGTAATGGGACACGATACATCAGGATACAGAGACACGGAAAATCTCCAAAAGCTAGGATATGGACAAAACATGAATACAACAGTAATAAAATGAGTTTATAGCATTCATATCTTTCTTACAGCTCTTCTCTTTCTCTATGTTGCAAAATATAGTCCTAGCCCCTTAATTTGCTTTGTCACACCAGAGCAAAAAAGATCTTCTTTCATTTCCGGTTATATATCACTTATCACTTCCAAATAATACAATAGCCCAAACTTCTTTTAAAATAAATGCAAATAATCATTATGTTGAATTTAGCATGTGTGGCCGTCATGTGGATACGGGTATCCAAAAGTCAAAAGTTGGCAAAAAGTCGATGGATACAGACTTGGAGTACCATCTATGTATTCTATCTCAGAATTATCCAGCTGGTACCGCATACAATAGGGAAAAAAATATCTATAATTTTTGGAGTATCCGTGCTTCATAGCTTGGTAGTAATTCCCCTACCAAAAATTCAGGAATGTCCTTGGCTGTTATGGGACATAGGATAGAATCCCACCTTCAAATGAGATAGGAGTTAACAAAAAAAGATGCTATTTCTGTAGTGCAAGGTCCAAACATGTGTACAGCAATGAGGCTAATAACTTTTCAAGCAGTCTATCCCCTTAAAGTAAATATACTTAACAAGGTAATGTAGCAAGGTCGCAAAATGGTAAGTTAGAAAGGAGATTTGAAATATTCATCACTTAAAAATGCTAGTGGTACTGCTTATGCTGGAACTTACAAGTGGTGTGAAAACCAAAGGATGAGTCGTGTTTGACATTCCATATCTAAATCAGCTATTTTGTCAAAAAGAGCTCGTACAGCACCGGCAACTACTGCGGGAAAGGCTCCGGGAAGAGCCTAAGAATTAAACTTCATAGTCAGATTGCTTTAAATTGATGTCTACTTAAATTCAATCGGACAAAAGACAAAGACATAGACAAAATAATCGCATTCATATTACCTTACAGAGGTCGATAATAACTAGTGTGTAATATATTGGCCTGAAAGGGGGTTGTGGTAGCATAAGCAACTGCGCAAATATAAAACACATCATTTTGCTTCACATAAGAAAGTTTAAACCATACAATTTTATAAAGATATAGTCAAGGAACAAATCTGTTAATAAAAAAATAATGTCCAAGAATAAGCAGGGAAAATATGGATCTAATCCTATCTTATTCCGTTAAGCTTGCTCAGTGGAGTTAAAGTTAATGAAATCTGTAGTCAAAGGAAAAATTTATAAACTTTTTCTACTTTGGGAAGTTCATTTGTTACTCTACTCAATGAAAAATATACTCACTAAAAATATATTGAATTCTAATATGAATCTCATTCTCAAACTCCATGTTAGACTATTATATACTTTGTGACAAAAATCCGTAATTAACATGTAATTGTAAAAGAATAGTTTGCATTTTAAGCTATTTCATCATCAATAAATTCATTTACAATCTTTATAACCCTATAACATGGTATTTCCCCATAAAATATCCTTAAAGATTTGAACAATAAATCAAGATGAATTTAAACAAAAGGTACCCATATTAATTTAGAAAACAATTCCATAACCTTAAATGAAAAAAATCTTCAAGAGTTATTAATCAGCTAGCAAATTGGGATTGAAAATTAAATTCAGACTGCCAATGTTTTATGTCCATATGGATGTATACAGACCATTTCTCCAAATAAAAGAAAAAACTCTCCTTGAAATATTTCCATTGAAATGAAGATAAACTGATTGTTCCAAAACCTAAAACCTAGGCAAACTATATGCAGCTTTGGAGAATCACCCTACAAAACGATTACTTGCAAATAACACTGGAAAAACTGTAGCAACCAAACTGAAGAAACAACTCCACCCATACAGCCCATTTAACTCTTAACTCATAACTAAGCCACCAAATATTGCTACAATGTGTTAAACTCATACGATTAACAAATCATATATATTTCACATATGGATAAAGTATGACTGGAACGAGAATAAAATACCTCATCAAAATATGAACTAAAAGACTGCAAAAATGCAAAGGTTAACAACTTACCTGGGAGAAAATTGTCTCTGCCATAAGATACTCATATCTAAAGGGCACAGGTAGGCCAGCCATATATGAAGCGCATTCTTTTCGACTAGCTTTGCATGAAAGAAGAACAAATAGAATAAATGTTAAGGCCAAAAATCAAATAAAAACAGAAATAACGAAGAATTCTAAGTACAAGGAATCAGAAAGTAAAACTGCATTGTTTAATATCAATCCACCTGCATACACATTAATGAATACAAGATAGTAAGATAACACCAAGTAATCCAGATTTCAAAACACCAGTAAAATTTCAACTAGGTATCTGCTTGTTTTTCTCTTCCACACATCGAGCTAGTTTAGAAAAATCTTATAACTAAAAGTCTAAAACCACTAAAAGGAAACACCCAAATTATGCTTCTCTGCCCACAATCAATGCTTTTGGTACCATTAGCAGGACAAGACTTAAAAGCAACAAACTTCTTTGTTCACATGAACAAACAAACACAACAAATATATCGCTGCAAGCCTCCAATAGAATATCCAAAATCACAACCTCTGCTCAACCCGCACTTACACATTATTTTGCAAAGACAGACACAAATTAAGCAATACGACATGCATCAAAATTTGACTATTAGGTTTGAATGTTTAAATGCCTCAAACCAGTTTGATTTTACATAGTATCTGACTAAATTATCTAACATTTTAAAATGAAGTTCATCCTTTCCAAGAAATGCATAAACTAAGCAGTTAGCCATCACACAATTCTGCTATCATATACATTATAAAACCTTTTTGCAACAATAAAAACACAAGACACCTAACAGAATCTTTTCAAGAGAAAAATGAGTTGGTCTATTGGTTTGAACTGGTAGCATATACTCAATTCCAAAAAGAAAAAGAAAAAAGCAGAATACAAAGTGATACTGCTCATCAGAAAGTCAACAAACTAATTAAAGTGAGCAAGCTATAAGAAATTTAGTTATGTCTTCTATTACGAGTTCATTGAGAGGTACAAACCAGCCATTTAAGTAAAATAGCACATCTAGCAGATACTCTTCCACGATGAAGCGATCCATGGGTTGCACGTCCTGTCATCAACAAAAACAAAAGATTTTCATGTCATCAATAACTAAAAGAACATATTTTACAACCAATCACCAATAAAATTGATGTGCAAAATTTATTGCAGAAATGCGTTCAAACAAGCAGAAAAAAAGTATGCAATGAACATGATATAAGCTAGTAACTCAAAATCGGTAAAATAAATAATAAAGTAAAAATGACAACATATGAAGAATCCATTAAGTTTATATTGAAATCAGAACTGTGGAAAACGGTACCAGTACCAGATGCAACCAAATTCTTCTGTTGCCTATAGAGAATCCATATTTATTAATTTATCCCATATTATCGTTCTCTTCTTAACTGTGCACTATTCAAAAACTTCTTGACATAATTGGACTACTTACTGAACAGAAACTATTGTAAAAACTCTAAGAATAAAATTTTCTTTTTGCCTTTGTAGTTTGTTTAAGTTAACATAAAGTATACATCATGTAAATGTGTTACAAAATAGTTTTACAAACATCAACTTGATCTGGAGCTTCATTCTATAAAAAATTCAAGAGTGATTGCACGAAGAAATTTCTTTTCACTCTTTACCAATACAATTCCATAAATAATCCCAGAAGGATTAAAATCCTAGAAAAATACTGCTTTGAATTGAAAATCATATCTAGAAGCAGATACCTGAACAAAGAGAAGCTTTTAAATCTGGGCCATTGGTTTAATCTCAAGGCCATAAACGACATTCACAACATATATGAATTCTTTTTAGGCTTAGGAGAGAAAAACAGCCTAAAAATTAGCAAATATTTGATCCAACAAACTTCAAGAATTATGATTTTATGGATGCTTCTTAATAAAAAATAACTAAATTCCCTGGTTGGACACCTAGGGACAGGACACTCTTGTTCACCCAATGCTGAATATCATTTGATAATAAAAAAAACTCATCTTCATATGGCTAAGTGCAGATTTACAGAAAAGATCTACACTATTGTCAAAAAAATACTACGCCTTGTTTCACTGTAACAATACAACCCACTGCAAACATACACTTAACCATACAACATACAATTGAGGAGGGAACATCGTTTATCCTTTTTGTGCCGAATAGAGTGTTACGAAACAAAAAATTTTAACTTTGGATATTTTAAGCTGGTCACAGCAGTGTGGCACTCAAGTCGTACAGAAAACATTAAAAGAAAGAAAATAAAAAGGGAAAATGTAATAAGAAATCACTAGCAAGCTTAAAATTAACAAACATTAAGAACGAGAAAGTTGGTTTAGACATAGGAATTTAGTTCTCAGATAGCAAACTACCTCAGTTTTGCTTTCAGGAAATATATTCAGCCTTCGTATCCTTTGTGGATAGATAAACTCGGCATCATGCTTTTGTTTACCATAAGTTATATTAGACATTGTTGAAGGCATTGCAGGTTGGTCAGGACAGCTGATGGGTCCCAACTCGTGAGACTTTCCGGCAACTAGCTGTGCTTCAAATGATAGGTGAGGTCTAGGAACTGCCAAGTGAGTGCATAGAATTTGATCAAACAATGAAATAAAATCATGAGAAAATATAGAATAAAGAAGACTGGCAAGCCAAATATAATGTTTAAGTTTAAATGAACTCTGGGATACTTGATCATTACCACTATCAAGTTTCCATCCATTGCTAGATAAAACTTGTATTCGGCCCCACAAATCTTCCAAGAAATCCTACCAAAGTTATAAAAAAAAAAAAAAGTGTGGTTAGGATAAAATTACAAGGCAGTGTAAAACAATGAAAAGGATAACAGTCTGACTAGATAATAGAGATATGAAGCAAATTAAATGTATAGGAAAAGAACATAATATTGGGATGATATGCACAATCCACAGAAGTAGGGAAGTTAATTAAAAGATGGGAAAATAAATATAAAGTTCAAGGACCACATAAAATAGCTGTATGAGTGTAAAAAACTCTTGAATACCCAAGAATTGAGTGGCTAACAAAATCATTTAACAAGACTTTAATTCAAGGTGCAATGGTGAATGAGATCAGTTGAGGAAATTACGAAGGAATTAAATTGATGAGTCACATTATGGAAGTATGGGATTAGGTCACAACTAGTAAGAATAGAAACAGTGTCAAATATCCATTCCACATTTTGCAAGGCAAATCCAAAATGTAGACAATCAACTCACTAAGACAATTCAAGGCGAGCATGATATTCAATAACTTAGAAGATGCCTATGATAAAAGATCAAGGGATATACTTAAGGGGGCCTACAAAGAAAATGTTTTCCAGTTCGTTATAATAAAGTGATTTGAGATATATAATAACACTAAAGTTCATTGCATGTGGAGAAACCAGAGACTTTAAAAAGGATCATTCCAAGCATCAATACTAAGTCCTAATCTGTTAAAGAGTAAAGTTGTAAGATGAAATATCATGGTTATGAAAGAAGAAATTCATGGTGAATGCTATTTCTAGATGACAGTTTTGACGGACACTAATAAATTGTCACTTGCAGAAAAAACTGGAAACAGGGGGAAACACAGAGAAGCAACAATAGTTAAACCAGCTACCACCTCTAACAATCAATACAATCTATGAAATTAAAAGGCCAATATTTCTGGTAGACTACAATATACGCGAATCACCTAATGATATTTTAATCTAAAGGGAAAAGCAAATATGATGTTCAAATAACTTATACCTTATCGCTAGGTTCTCTCGCATTCTCATCATCATCCTCAAAAAAGGACAACCCAGTGTCAGAAGAACGTTTTCTTATGCTCAAATAAGCTTCAACACCGACCATAACTCTCTCGATTTCCTCAGGGACTTGCTGCAGTGAGACAACAACAAATCATGACTGAAGCATTTAAACTCATAATGAAACAGAAAACAGGAAATGTAAGCCATAGTTGAGTCAAACAGTAAACAACGACAACAACAAAGCCTTATCCCACTATGTGGGTTCGGCTGTTGAATCCTACACCACTGCGCTCAGTTTTGCGCTAAGTCTTCCGTTAGCTCTAAGCACTCCATGTCTTTTCTTACTGTCTCTTTTCAAGTCTTCCTAGGCCTTCCTCTATCCCCTTTGCCCTGGGCCTCAATCTCATAATCACATTTTACTGGAGCATCTATAGGTCTTTGTTTCACATGTCCAAACCACCTAATGGGAAAATACAATGACCCATGCCACCAACTATACTCCCATGAAGCTTCACCACAACCAAAAGGGCCACTACATCTGTGCCAGACACAGAAGCCCTCGAACATAGCTACAACATGTGATAGCGTGCATCCATTAAACTTTTCAGGTCAGACGTGGAACAGAAACATCTTGGAGACGCCGCTTAAAGCCGGGCAATAATTTTTTTTTATTTTTAAATAGTTAGTGGCCGGAACAAAAGTGAGACACAAATTCTGGAGGTCTAAATTGCTTATAGTAAGAATGCAACAAACCAAGCCTTTTATGTAACGAGTTCTCAACAAAAAACCTAGACTCCACAGGAACAGTTAGTATCGTACTTTTAGTTTAAACAGACCGAAGACTAAAAGTTTTATGAGGTTCATAAGCAGACATAGAATATCGGAATATTTTGAAAAACAATAATCAAACAAATTAAACATTGATACCATAAAAGAGAAACTTTTTCTTTTTATCAAGCACCATTATAAAAGTACCTCAATGAGTTCTGCTCCTCCCCAAGGGAGACAAGATAAAATGCATGTTATGTAAAAGTCAGCTCGTGATTGCCAGGATGGATTGCCTTTCTCCTCATCAACTGTTGTTGCAGCTGACGATAACAATGTTTCGAACACAACCACAAGAGAACTGGGATGGATAACTTTACTGCACATCTATAGAAGGAGAAAGTTACTACAAGGGAAAAAAAATTATACCTTAGTAAAATTCACGCACTCGTGTAGAAAGATATGTATATAGTAGATAAAAAAGGCGATGTTCTTTTGCCAAGACTGGGAATCTGAAACATTGATCAAGTTGGATTTTATAAAAATGTATACTCCAATTCACAGTCTTGAAACTGATGCATTCGTTGGCAATATAAGTTGGACAAAAGAACATTACTCTATGCATACACATGTATATGGATTAAAAAACTTGTTTTCATGAATATTGAAGTCTATTTTGCGATATTTATGGTTCTAAGAGGAAGGGGAAAACCAAAACTTAATATTATGGGTAGAGATAACAAAAGATATGAATAGTGTTTTGGATAACATAATTTGGTTAGTAGTAGTAGGACTGCTTTTTGTTGTATATTAAACCTGGGTAGAAGTCCAATGTCATCATTGGTAAATGTGAAAGTAAAAATTTCTTATATATGTTCTTTATATTTAATGACATGCATTTCCTTTAAATTGTACTCCTGTCAGTAGGAGATGAAACTTTAGAACTTTGTACCTTGTACATGGTCTAAATAAAAAAGCTTCTAGAAATTGCTGCAGAGATACAAACTGTATTCATATGAACAGCCAAATGTGGTAAGATATGGCCTAAAGTTTAAGTTGATGGCATATGGATGACAACATTACATTCCCAGACTCCATTAACTAAAAGATTTCCTTGGTAAATTTGAGCGAACTAAAGCATATAATGAATAACATATATCTGATTGTATTCTTGTGTTCTCAATCTGTTCCTGAATTTCATCAGTCACCAATAGCAACATGATACATACCATAACAGTCAGGAACCTCATCAAAATACGAATCTTGTTACAATTTCCGGAAGCTAAAGCATCCTGAAAATCAAACACAAACAAAGAAAAAGAAGAGTGTCAATTTTAAATCCTCACTAAAAAGAATAAAGGATATATCAAAAGGAGATGAATAATTGCTTTTACTGGTGCGCCGCTGATAGTCATCGCAGAGATGTTTTTTTAAACTATAGTCATGAAGCAGTGGAGATCAATCCGACCCGGGTTCTCAATTGGTTTCGTCTGGGTTTTTTCCAATTTGTCTAAGCTCTGAGATTTGCTGGAGAATTCCATCTCCGATCGATTATCGCTGCCGTCGAGATTGATCGTATCCGATCTCCATCGTCCGTCGGTCTCTGATTCCCTCTTGTCTCAGCGGCGGTGGATCTCCGGTTAGGCTTCGCCGTCCGATTCATAATTTCGCGGTCTCTGACAACATTGATCTGTTGGAGAATTGAATCGATTTGGGTTTATTTTCAATTGGGTGTACTGGATTCGAAGAATTAGCGATAAAGATCGATTCTTTTGATCTTAAGGTGCTTAATCCAGATCTTGGGATAGTGGAGTGGAAAAAAGTTACTGCTCGGATCTTCTTTGCATGTCGATTGGAAATGCATCGCTAGGAAATTTGGTTTTCCTGGGATTGTGAGTGAGTAGGATACGGGATGAGTTGGCTGGGTTTCAGAGTCGCCGCGCTTCTGCTCTCTTCCTCCTCCATCTTCCGTAATCTCGGTCTTCGACTCGGATTGATCACTTGATCGCTCTCTCACCGAGTCCACCCACCAACTCGGATGAACTTTTCATCTGGGTTTTTTCCAATTTGTCTAAGTTCTGAGATCTGCTGAAGAATTGGATCGATTTGGGTTTAATTTCAATTGGGTGTCCTGGATTTGAAGAATTGGTGATAAAGATCGATTCTTTTGATCTTTGGGATTTTGGAGTGGAAAAAGTTACTGTGATCTTAGACATGCATAGATCATGTAGTGCTTGAACAAGTATTTTGAGCCATTGCTCACATCTGAGCAAAGGGGAAGGCGGCAATGGAGTCAGAAGGAGAAACTGCCCTGAACCACAACAAAAACTGGTAAGGGGAGCAGCATTCTAGTGGGATAAGATGACCTACCGACATTTATCCAGGGATTACAAAGTAGAGCAAAAGGTATTCATCTTAGAGGTGGAAGATAAGTCTTTTGGTGAAAGGATTCTGTTAACAGAGAGAACTAGATACAGAGGGTACCAGATTTCTTTCGATTTGGGATGTGCTGCTTGGCTCATTGATCAGTTAAAGGAGGCGGTAGTTACAAACGGTCAGATATTTTTCAGAAAATATAGAGGTCATAATTATCAGTTTTGGGTTGAAAGATTCCACAACAAAAACGGGGATTTTCTTGTTCTGTCCAAATCAGAAAAGGATGGTTTTGTAAGGAATATCTTCGTTCCTAAAGGAAGTAACTTTTTCGGCTGGAGAAGTCTGGAGGAACTACTGTCTGAAATTCTCCGAGGGGGAAAGAGAGCCGGGGCTTCTCAGATGAATGTGAAGAGGGATGGAATTAAGCCTATGAGCAGCCACTCGGGGTTTGGCCCTCAGGTTTCGTATAGAGACGCAGTTCTTGGAGGCAAGATGTTGACAAATGGGGCATCCCTTCGAAACGTCAGAGAGGAAAGTTGGATCAAGAAAAACTGGAATATGAGAGATACTTCCACGGAATCCTATAGTTGGGGGAGTGTAATCGTTTGTGAGAGACTTGTGGTGCATCAGCCTTGGAGAGTTGTGGAGGCCTCACTTCAAAATCTGCTGGGAAAGAAAATTTGGCTTTCACCATTCCAATGCAACAAGGCTTTGTTTGTTTGTCAGAACGAAGAGGAAGCAACAAAAATTGCACAACTTGGAGTTCTAGCCATGAATAAGTTTCCAGATGTGGTGCTGTCTGGATGGTGGGACAGTATCAAATCAAATGACAGAAAGGTGGTTAGTTATGGTGGATGGGTTGCTCTGGAAGGTTTACCACCGCATCTTTGGACCAATGATTTTTTCCAAAAGATTGGCGATGCATGCGGTGGTCTGGTAGAAGTTGATCGTAGAACAGCTAACTTTGGTTTTTTGATTGAAGCAAAGTTAAAAATCAAACTCAACAACATTGGCTTTATTCCAGAGTTCGTAAATGTGGTAGATGGAGAATCAGTATTCAGGGTAAAAATACGTCAACTTTCGCCAGCAAAGAGACGTAATCTTTCGGCTGCAGATGGTGGAGTAACCACAATATCAAATGGCTCTTTGAAGACTAAATCGAAGTTACAAAGGATCACCGGAATAATTCCGGCGAAAGCAGATTTTCAACAGACTGCCCCTATTTCAGGGACACGTGTCTGTTTTCAGATTGGAGATTTTGATTGCCCTGTCAATGTTGGTTCTGAAAGAAAGCAAGGAGAAAGCATGGATGTGACAGAGAGTGTGCGGATTGAGAAGCCTGTAATTAATGACTCTACTCTTTCTGTAAGAAAGCAAGGTGAACAACAGAGAGTAGGAAAACTAACAGGAGCGGTGGAAATGACAGAAGCGGTGGTTTTCTCAGAAGGAGCAGAAAAGGCAGTTGCAGGGGATTATTTTAATAATTCAATAGAGAAAGGAAGTCAGAAAGAAGTGGTCTTTTCGGTTGTAGGCAAGGGCTTGGAGGTATGTGGGACAGTTGGTGGCGGTGGTTGGTTGACAAGAGGAAGCAGCACTTTAATGTATTCAACAGAGAACATTTCTCAATGTTCTTCGGCTATGAAAGCTCATCACAAGGGTGTTTCAAGTAAAACTCCAATGTGTTTCAATTTGAAGTTCCTTGGGAGATTTGGCGATTCTGATATTTGTGGAAAAAGACTGAAACTTGTTCTTCCTGACGAGTTCGGATCTTATCTGACTCCTTTAGAGAGGCCTAAACTGAAGGAAATTCAATCTCCCAATCTCACCTTCTTAATTAATGAGTGTGAACAGATGGATGAAAAGGAAAGGGATGTCGATGATGTTCTAATAAGGCCTTCGGGCAAGTTGATTGAAGAGGAATCATCGGAACAAAGGATGAGGTTGACAGAGGATCTTGGTCTGGATTATTCTCAATTATCAGATTTTGGTGAAGACGAATACATGTCACAATCATCAGTTTCAGAGGAGGAGTTTGGTGATTCTTCACAAGACGAAAAAGAAACCTTCGAGGTTTTAGATCGCTTTAACGATGTGTTTCACAATCTCTTCACTGATACAACAATGGAAACAAGGACAACGTTGGATGAGGTACATTCTCAGTCGCATCATTTAGCAAATTTAGACACTGAGGAACAAGTTGAATACAAAGATACTGGAAAAAACAAGAAACTGTTAAAGTATAGCAGAAGGAAAAGGTCGGCTAGGGCATCAGTCAAACGTGAAGCACAAACTCGAACTACCAAATTCATGTCAAATATGAAAGTTTCTTTGGTGCCACTGAAAAGGTCTTTATTTCTTGAGAGGAATACTGGGAAAGTCGTTGCTAGCAAGCTTGTGGGTGGAAACAAGGCAGAAAAGAAAATTCAAGGGGGCATTGTCAGATTTAATGAAGATAATTAGCTGGAATGTGAGAGGATTGGGAAGTAGGAAGAAGAGGTTGATTTTGAAACAACAATTCAGGCGACTAAAGCCCGATATTATTATCTTACAAGAAACAAAGAAAGAATCAATTGACAGATCTCTTGTGGCTAGTGTTTGGGGAAGCAGATTTAAAGAGTGGATTTACGCCCCGGCTCAAGGAAGATCTGGGGGTATAGCTGTGATTTGGAACACCAAACACATCTCGGTTATTGAATCTTTGGTTGGAGGTTTCTCTGTCTCCATAAAAATTAAAGCCCTCAATGGGTTGGACTGGTGGTTATCTGGTGTCTATGGTCCCTGCAAAAATAGAGAGCGAAAGGAGTTCTGGGAAGAAATGGCTGGCCTTTACGGTATTTGTGGATCAAGATGGTGTGTAGGAGGAGATTTTAACGTGGTGAGATTTGTAAATGAGAAATCAAATGGGGGAAGAATGACTACAAGCATGAGGAATTTTAATGATTTCATCCAAGATACAGAACTTAAGGATTTGGAGTTGCTCAATGCTCAATTTACTTGGTCAAACTTCAGAGAAGAACCTGTGTGTCGGAGGTTAGACAGATTTTTGATCTCGGTAGGCTGTGAAGAGATTTTTCCAGAGGTTAGACAAATGGCTTTGGCAAGGGTCACTTCTGACCATTGTCCAATCCAACTAGATACTAACAAGGTGAAATGGGGGCCAAGTCCTTTCAGATTTGAAAACATGTGGCTACAGCACCCAGATTTCAGGAACAAGTTCAAACAATGGTGGCAATCTGAGCAGGTGGAGGGTTGGGAAGGTTATAAATTTTTGTACAAGTTAAAAGCTATCAAAAGAAAGTTGCAAAGATGGAGTAAGGAAAGTTTTGGTGATGTTGAGAAACAAATTAAGGATGTTGAGGCTAGCATAGAGGATTTAGATAGGAGAGAAGGGTTGGAAGGGCTAGATGTTGCTGCTAAAAGAAAGAAGGAAGAGTTACTTTTCCTTGTGGAAGATCTAGCTTATAAGGAAGAAGTGAAGTGGAGACAGAGAGGTAAAGTGGAATGGGCTAAAGAAGGGGACGGAAATACTAAATTTTTCCATAGAATAGCAAGTGGAAGAAGGAAGAGAAACTATATAGAAAGGTTGGAAGTGGATAATAGGGGAGTGGTAGAGGATGCAAAAGAGATAGAAAAACATATTGTTAACTTCTTCAAGTCCCTGTTTAGTAGTAACGAAGAGGTATGTTGGGGATTGGAAGGCATCAATTGGGCCTCAATAAGTGAATCTGAGGCAGCTTGGCTTGAGAGGCCTTTTGAGGAATCGGAAGTACAAAGAGCAGTCTTTGATTGTGGAAGGGATAAATCGCCAGGACCAGATGGTTATTCCTTGCAAATGTTTCAACACTGTTGGGAATTCTTGAAAGTGGATATTTTGAAGGTCATGGAGGAGTTCTTTGAGACCGGAATAATAAATGCGGTGACAAACGAAACTTTTATTTGTCTAATTCCGAAAAAGTCAGATTCTTTGAAAGTGACGGACTATAGGCCTATAAGCCTAGTTACTGGTTTATACAAAATTGTGGCGAAAACCCTAGCTTCAAGATTAAGGGAGGTTATGGGCAGCACAATCTCTCCACATCAAGGAGCTTTTGTTAAAGGCCGACAAATTTTGGATGCCGTCCTTATTGCAAATGAGGTGGTAGAAGAGGTGAGGCAGAAGAAAGAGGAGGGATTGGTGTTTAAAATCGATTTTGAAAAGGCTTATGATCATGTAGAGTGGAGATTTTTAGACGAAGTTTTACAAAGAAAAGGCTTTGGCATTAGATGGAGAAAATGGGTGCAGGGATGTCTAAATTCTGCAAATTTCTCCGTTTTGATAAATGGGAGGCCTAGGGGAAAATTTCATGCTTCAAGAGGTTTGAGACAAGGCGACCCACTGTCACCTTTTCTTTTTACCTTAGTAGTGGATGTCTTGAGTAGATTAATGGAGAAGGCTCAAGAGAATCAGCTGATCAAAGGTTTAGGCATTGGGCAAGAAAGGGTGGAGATCTCTCATCTTCAATTTGCTGATGATACTATTTTCTTCTTGGCGGACGATGAGGAAGTTTGGAACAGCTTATTAGAGGTGCTCAATTTATTTTGTACTGTTTCAGGGTTGAAAATCAACAAAGAAAAGTGTTCTTTGGCTGGAATAAACTCAGATTGTGAGAAATTAAAAAGGTTGGCAGATTCTTGGGGTTGTGAGGTGGGTAGTTGGCCAATAAAGTATTTGGGTCTTCCTCTTGGGGGCAGGCCAAGAGCACTTACGTTTTGGGATCCAGTGGTAGAAAAAATGGAAAAAAGACTTCAAAATTGGAAGAAGGCCTTCTTATCCAGAGGAGGCAGATTAACTTTGATTCAATCTGTTTTGGGAAGCTTGCCAATCTACTACATGTCCTTGTTCAAAATTCCTTGCGGGGTGATTGGACGCCTAGAAAAACTAATGAAAGGATTTCTTTGGGAGGGGGTGGAGGAAGGAAAGAAAAACCACCTGGTGAAATGGGAGATAGTTATTAAAAGTAAGGAGGAAGGGGGTTTAGGAGTAGGGAATTTGAGGAATCAGAATGAAGCGTTATTGGCTAAGTGGTTGTGGAGATTCCCAAAGGAACCAAATTCTCTCTGGCACAAGGTGATAAGAAGCAAGTATGGGCTGCAGGATAATGGGTGGATTGCAAATCCTCCAGTGCGGGGTTCAAGTCGAAGCCCCTGGAAAGATATTTCGTGCGGTCTCCAAGCATTTCTACAATGTTGCAAGTTTAAGGTGGGCAATGGGGAAAGGGTGAGGTGTTGGGAGGATGGTTGGTTGGAAGGGGGACCATTGAAAGAACAATTTCCTAGATTATTCTTGCTATCGAGAAGGCACAACCAGAACATCGCAAGTTTTGTGGATCTTTCTATCAATTCTTTGAGCTGGAATTTTGATTTCAGGAGAAATTTGAACGAAGTGGAGATAGAAGAGGCGGCTAGATTATTACAGAAAGTGGAAAATGTTCGATTGTCGCAATCAAGAGCGGATGATAGAAGGTGGAAACTGGATTTATCAGGATTGTTTACCTGCAAATCCTATCGCTCTTTCTTGAGCAACAATGGGATTGTGCAACATTTTCCACCCTCTTCACAGATTTGGAAATCAAAAGTTCCTCCGAAGGTCAAAGTTCTTGTGTGGCTAGTGGCTATTGGGAGGCTCAACACTTGTGATCAAATTCAAAGGAGAAGTCCTTTTATTTGCATCTCTCCCCATTGGTGCGGTTTGTGTAAAGCAAAGGAGGAAAGTGTTGATCACATTTTTCTTCATTGTTCTTACACGATTCAATTGTGGTGGAAATTGTTTCAGGAGGTTAGAGTAAGTTGGGTCATCCCAAAGGGTTGTTTCGAGCTTCTAAGCACTAATTTTGAGGCTCTAGGAATTGGGAGGAAAGCTAAAGCTTTGTGGGGTTGTCTGGTGTCGGCAGTTTTTTGGAACATTTGGTTGGAGCGTAACAAAAGAATTTTTGACAATTATACTGGCGTGGGGGTAGCAGATCTGTGGGGAAGAGTAAGATATTGGGCAGCCTTATGGGCTTCAGTTTCAAATGAATTTAAGAATTACTCTCTTTCTCACATACTGTGGGATATGTTAGCAGTCGTAAAATGATTTTGGTTGAGGTTGTCCTACTTGTAATCTGATCCTTTGGAGAGATTTTCTTGTTCTGTTCTTGGTGGATTTCTTATCCACTTCTGTGTATTACATTTTTCTTTTTTAATAAACTGTTATAGTTTCTTCTCAAAAAAAAAATAATCGTCCAATAGTTTTAATCTTTCAAACATAGCCTTATAAAATCTCAACTACATAGTACATATTAATAGAACCCTCTTTGTCAACCAAAAGAGGGTGAAAAGACTATTTAGTCTTCTATTACAACATAAAAGTTAAGGGCAGTAACATAATTTCAAAAAACAAAATTTTACTGTTTTTGATTAAGCATCACCTACAGCTGATTTTAACATCTCTAATTTAAAAAAAAAAAAAAAAAAGAAAAGAGGATAAAAATAAACCTCTCTCCTCTCTTCCCATTCCCGCGTTCCCTCTCACTCTCCTCTCCTTCAATTTTAAAAACAAAAATAAAAAATTTCACACACACTTTAATTAAAAAATCAACCTTGACCACATAACTTGCATGCACCAGATATTTAAACCTCAAATACTCACTGTCGGACATCCCATGATTAACCTAAAAAGTAAATGGGCAGCTCAAATCCCACAATTCCAGTTCACTCATTCATCTCTCTCTTTCTATTTTTATTTATAAGATATCTCTTTTTATTAATAAAACCCCAAAGTACAACTTGTGAGGACAATATGTTCACTTGTTCTTATCCACTATTCCAGTTTACTTTTCTAATCTTCTATATATATATATATATATATATATATATATATATATATTTATATAATTCAAGAACACATTCATGAACTAGGAACGTCATTTCATTCACACTACCATTTAATCGAACACTGGCATGCCTCACTATTTTTATCATAGTCAAAATTCAAAGTAATTAAACCCTTTTGCCAATTTGTTGAGAGATAAAAGAACCAAGCCTTCTGAAATCATCAGCCATGGCAGCAGCAATAATAAAATCCAAATGAATATCAAACAGAACATGAAAAATATGCAAGGTGTAGGGCATTCCAGGTTGCAGAGCATCAATTAGAAACTACTTCTTGGCACATGCTCCAATTTGCTTTTAAAATAAATTAAAAACAAAATAAAAAAAGCTGGCTTTCTTCTTTTATTATAAATTATAATGCAGCAGCCCATATTTGGTCTCAACCATAGGATCACTCACCTGAAAATTAGTTTGAGTGTTCTCAACTACTTTCCTAATAAATTCCTCGTTCTCCAAATTTAATAAGCCAATCTGGAGAGAGAGAGAGAGAGAGTGTGAGTAAACAATCCCAAAGAGTCCGAAGCAGTACACAAGAAAAATGGATATTGAAGAAATTATAGCTCAAGAAGTAAGAAAATATGCATACAGTAGACTCTAGGAATATTATTAGTAGAAAAAAAAAAACACCTTTTAACACATGTGGTACGTAATATGATACTCATAAGTAATGTATATGAATCCACCATGTATGGTGCATTGCACCATCCAAGAAATATATATCTGATGGAGCTAAACCCCTTCATTTAGACTTGTGCAGCTACATGTAATGGTTAAGCTTTCCTTCTCTTTTTTTCTCCCAAACATAACTGAATACAATGCAATTAATAAAAAAAAATCTTCAAAATGCACCTCATAAGAGTCTAAATTAATTATGAAACACAAAAGACTTTAAAATCAACTTGTTATTCAACAAGCAGTAATTTCAATTACTCCATCACCAAATTCCAAAGCTTTTGGTTTTTTTCCCTTTATACTAACATTGTGATTGTGCAAATCTAATTCATGGTCTGAAAAATGTGTGAACCCTAAAGGTGCCCTAGATGAGCATTTCCAGTGATTAAATATGTGATCCTCGCTTAATCAGAAGAGAAACATTTTAGTTTGGGTCAATATTCAAGTCAGTTTGAAGAAAATGGAACCTTTTAGGTTAGGCATAGTAAGTTTGAAGGTATATAGTTATACACTTCAAAGTTCAGCAAAGCATTCATATGCATACTATATATAGGGATGAAAGGAGAAACACTGGAAGAACTGAAGAATCCAAAAAACCTAAATAAATAAAGTCAGCAGCAATGTATTTATACACCCTACCACTGTTCCATATAAAGGACTCTTGTGAGGCAACTGTTCGGCACACTGGATAAGGAACTGTCAGAAGAAAAAGTACAAAGTTAATGTGTATAACAGCAGAACAAGTATCTACGAGTATGGAATTCTTTTTCTTCCCAAATTTCTATATTAAAGAGAGAGTTTTGGTGTGTTTGAAAGGAACATCTAAAGTAATCGTCCCCATGTCTCTCTACTCTCCTTGTCTTTTCTGATCCATTATCTTAATTGAAAATGATGAAAGCCAAGAGAATTTAAAATTCTTCCCTTATTTTATCTTCCCTGGTGTTATCAGGTGCTTCAGACTTTTAGTTTTTGGTCGGAGATACTTAGATTTCGTATAAAAAGACATCCAGCAGAACCTAAAACATCGACCCAAAACATATCCTAGCTTATAATGTCAATTTTCGCGAACTAAATTTAATAACTTTTTATTTCTTTGCCTTTTCATCAACAGTCAGTAAACGAAATTACTATAACCTAAAAGTGGGGCTGGAGCTTGTATAATGTACAGCACTGGAACAAAAAAAATAGCTTTACTTGCGAAACGTCGTCGGGAGAGTGCTCCAATTCTCGGCGAAGCACGCCATAGCAAGTTTCCTGCAAATCCAAGAGAATCAATCAATAAAACATACTACACAGAAATTGAAAAGGTTGAGAAGACGAAGCAAATTAGGGTTTTAAAAATCACAACAAAGAGAGCGAGAGAGAGAGGGAGAGGGAGGTACGAACAATGTGTTCTTTGACGTCGTCGGAGGTGCCATAGTCGGAAGACTTTTCGCCAATTCGAAGAAGAAGACTCTTCCAACTGCTCATTCTCTCTCTTCTTCTCTTACTTCTTGAGAGACGAAGAACAAAATTGAACGCAGATAGAGAGACAGACTGCTTTAGCTACCAACTAAACAAGCGAAGCGTACTCGAGCTTCGCCGAGAGAGACCTGGCGGGCTTATATGCGTGGGCCTGAACCCTACTAATTCTTAATCCCCTTCGGATGCCCAGATTGCCTTGTGCCATGTCGGGTCAAAGTCTTTAAACGGATAAAAGATTGTTTTTAGGGTTGCAAGTACACCTGGCATTTTGAATCCAACCCAACAACCCAATCCAATCCATCCGTTGAAATTTACAATTGGATGGATGCTTAACGGATTGGATCGTTAACAGATGAACCCATTAATCATTCGTTAGTTTACGAGTCATTTCGAGTTTTCCATGAACTTTTTTAACACCTGTTAGTTGAAGATATTTATGTAATTTCAATAAAAGAAAAATATAACCCTTCCTTCCATTTATATCCTTGGTGATGGGACTTTGAATTTGAATGGGGTTGGGCAAGGCGATGGCTTTGAAGGAGGGTACGAAGTATGCCACAAGAAAATGATTTGCTACGGTTGAGGGAGATTCTTGGCTCACTATCCAAGCAGGCCAATGTCGGTGTGGTGTTCCTTGGAACCTGCCTTCTATCGTTGAAAGCATCAGGTGGTTGGTTACAATAATTTACTTGTATCAAGTGGAACCATAACGAATGACAAAAAATAATCATATTTATGCATTCTGGTGTAGGTTCATTCTCCACTGATTTCTCTCCCTAACTATCTATTTAACACTAACGCTATGGTTTAATTCCCGTTGTTTCTCTCCCTCTAACTAACTATTTAACACTAATGTTATCGTTCTACTAAAAAAACAAAAAAAAGAGTATGATGGAAGCTAACTAATTAACGTTTTGTGTGTCGATGTTGAGTGGACTTACAAATAATGGACTCATTGATGTCAAAGTTTGGCCTAATATAGGACTTCCCTGCAACTTGTTTTGTAGTACAATCTTCTTACATCTCTCATCTCGCAAATAAAGACATATTAGGTCTGTTTTTAGGCTGATGAGAGATGTGGAGAGGGGACAAAACATTTCAACTCAAATACTTTAGAAAACACATTTCTAACTTATCGAAGTTGAACCTCATAAAATAAAAAATAAAAAAAAATAAAAAGAGGAATTTTCAATGGAGGGTACAAAAAGAAGCTTTACACACAAAGAATTAATTAGAACATGACAAGTGACTATGTGATGAATTTTTTTCCTCCTAATTGGGTTCTTTGAGGGGTTTTGACACACCCGGACCCAGAAAGTCCACTTGGACCCTGAATCGAGTTGTGCTGGCCGACATCTGGAAGGTGACGAAGCCATAAAATGTGATAGTGTATAAAAAGTGAATAAATTTGAATCTTAAAGTGTCTAAGTACCAGAGTGCGCTACGAGTGGGAGCGAACCCATTTCACACGCGATTTCAGAGCATAAGTAAGGTACAGTAATGGGTAAGAATCATACCCTCAGAAATATCTAACAATACTAAGATTCGCCACAGATTCTTGTCGATACAAACTCAGCAACTAAAACCTGGAGGGCACCAAACAGAAGGTGTGAGTAAGCAATAAAACCAAGCTTCCCAAAGTTATTACCTCTCTAAAAGCAATGCCCCTAAATGTAAAACCCGTATCGTTTTCCATAAGACAGTACAACATATATGCATATATCCAAACCATACTCAGAAATGACTAAAACCACGGTTTGCCATCAACTCCACCATACATTAATAAGTAGGCCAAATGAACTAAATCAATACAAGGTGATATATCAGTCAGAGTCATCTAAAATGACATGTACAACTTATTCATATCTCATCAATCATGGCTAACATATAAGTCGGAGTCACCTATAGTGACCTGTACGACTTATCCATATCTCATCAATCCTGGCTAGCATATAAGTCGGAGTCACCTATAGTGACTTGTACGACTTATCCATATCTCATCAATCCTGGCTAGCATATAAGTCGGAGTCACCTATAGTGACATGTACGACTTATCCATATCTCATCAATCCTGGCTAGCCAATAGCTCAATAAGTATACCTGCACACGAGTCGGAACCACCTAAAGTGATCTGTACGACAGGACTGGGTGTAAATAAGTGCTACGATCACGTGAAGACTGGGCGAATAATCGCGGGTCACCTACGAGTCGGAACCACCTAAAGTGGTCTGTACGACAGGACTGTGCACCTACCTTGAATCCAAGGTGAGCATAAGGTGCGGGAGGTGAACATCACGTGAAGGACTGTGCCCTAGCCACGGGCAGGAGCACTAACACCGGGGTGCAGGTTTATGAGCTATGCTATATCTCAACACAATCGTACTCACTACCATCACTAACATCAACATGTACTCACCTGAAGCTTACCTGGGTGTCCCGCGTCCACCTTTGCACTTGAAAGCATTCCCAATAATTATATGCAAGTATAATACATATGGATATACCATGATGCAATCTAACACTCAACCATGTTGTAGCATTTTCAATTATAAACTATATAGTGTGAAATGTACAATCAATAACGTTCTACTCCCGAACTACTTATTTTCAAGGATAATTATCCATAATAACCCAATTAACACTAATTAACTAACTAATTCACAAAACTAAAACTTGTCTTTATCAATTTCCTTCGCATTACTCAATTTCCCAAACAAGGCTTTTGTCTCAAATATTTTATGGCTGCATCTAACGTCTCGTTAGACTGCCTACGTACCCTAAACAGGGATCAAGCCATTCGTAGTTCATAGTACTTCAAGCATTCACAATAATTATATATGAAAGTAATATGCCTAATCAATTTAAAAGTGTCGATAGAACTCTCAACAATATGTACGATAAAAAGGAAAAGATCCACTCACCAGGAGTCCACGCTATGATTCTCTAGCGCACGCATCGAGGCGTCCTGAATGATTGGTCCCTGTGACCAATTATCAAATCACATCTCAGAACTCTTATCCGTAGAATATGTAATTCACATAAAACACAACCTCGACGACATTCTAAAATAGTTTGAGACCCATTGACCACAAGTCAACCGTCGATCTTTGATCGACGGTAGGATTTACAACCCTGTATAACTTGCCCCGGAAGATCCGCATATCAGATTTCCAATCCGCAACTCCCAACGATCCACAATATGTTTCTACAATAACATATTAAAATTTCATTACGATCCAACGGTCGGATCTCCGCCACTTACCTAAAACAAGTGGCCGTGAACATTTATTTTACTAACTTACAAATCCAATTCAGGAAGATCCGTAAGTCGGATTCCCGATCCATAAATTCCTATGATATTTAAATATTACGTATTATAATGTATCCAATTTTGGTGACGATCCAACGGTCGGATCGTCGATTCACATTTTTATCAAGTAACGTATCGTAACAAATTTAGGTTCCAATGATCAACCTACGTCATTCAAATAACGAAACTGAATTCAAGACATTCAACATAGCCTAAAAATAGCATTGGCGGCCCACTGGCCACGCGCCGCCGCACGCGCCGCCGCGGGTGGCGGTCGGCCGCCCCGACTCGCCGGAAAATTCAACTATTTAAAAAAATTCTCAAACTTCACAGAAATGAACATCTCAGTGAGTGGAGCAACTTTCATACCTGCCACGAAGTCCAAAAGTGGACGGAAGATGGTCAATTTTTCCCACAAAGCCGGCGGGTGCCTAAAACTTCCCGACGTCGATTCGTCGTCTACGGTGGTCCAACGGGGTCAAGGTTGGTCGGGTTTTGCTCCTGGGATGATGGGCTACAAAGCCCAAGTGGTGGCATCGGCCATCGCTTTGCCGATTTGCCGGAAAATCGAAAAGGGTGGCCGGAGCACCATTGATTTTCATCAACTTTCGTGGCCTCAAACCACCTCATACCATGGTTAATCAAGGTGGTTCTTGGGTGGGTTTTGTAGAGGGGAATGAGAGCTTCAAGATGGTGGTGGTGGCATCGAAAAACTCCACCGGAGTTGCCCGGAATCGGCCTTGGAAAATGGATGGTCGTGCATGTCGGGTCACGGTTTGGGGGGGGGTTTTCCCTTTTTTTTTTTTTTTCTTTTTCTTTTCCTCTTTCTTTTTGATTGGCTGCCAACTTTACTTCCTTTTTCCTCCCTCCATTTTCTGATTGGGCGTCCCCCACAAAGTGGAGATTTAATTTAAATAAACATTAAATCTTGAATAACCAATTTTGAACGTCCGTAACTATACTGTTATAATCCGGACTCGCAAACGGCTTTCGCCTATACGTTCGTACCAATGAGTACTACGAGGATATGTTAAAAGAATAAGTTCCACATCTCTCAAATCGATGGTCTACGGAAGTCAAAGTCCTTGCCTCTAGGGCAATTTCGTAAATTCACGCTTTTAAAATAAAATAAAAACGTAAAATTTGGAACGGGTTGTCACAGGTTTTGTATATGTTCAAATCCAAAACTCTCGTATATGTATAAATATGCACTTACTTAAGACTCTAGATGTCTGATTTTCCACTTAATTTGCTCGTTGTTTTATTTATCTATTTATTTATTTTAACAAACGATATTATCTACACTAAGAGGGAGGGATGTAGGCTTAGTCTCATAATGAGGTAGCAATAATGTGTTCAAATTCACCTTTGGTGATAATCAAACCTAAGACCTCTCACTTACAAATGAAGAGGAATATCACTAGATTGTTAATTTGAGTGCTTAGTTAAAACTTGTGTGTGACTTGTGCACTTTTGACTAACAATGAATATTTGTTTTACAAGTATTATATTTTTTATATATTGTATACAATTATATAATATAATATATTAAAATTTTTAGGTCTCGTGAGGCTTTGTCTTACTATCTATGAAACGATTTGCCCACGCCTTTGCCTTTTAAAGCATTGGTTTAATAAATAAATAAAAAAAGGATTTTGCATAACATTTAGGGTTAGTTTGGTATTGATGTGCTTTAAAAAAAAAAAAACTGCTTCTACTATGATGTAATAATAAGCTTATTTTTACTCCTTCACGTTTTCAGATTTTTTTTTTCACCCAAAACTGTGAAAATAAATTATTTTTAAGTGTTTACCAAATACTTTTTTGAACTCAGCTTTTTTTTATAATTATTTTTTATAAAAACACCTCAGTAATAAATCAGCCTTTAATAGTGTTAGTTGTTAGGGTGTTTTTTTAAATTGGCCCATTTGCAAATATCAGCACCACCTGTGATAAATTAGATACATAGGAAAAGAAAACCAAAACACAAGAAACTCCATCAACAACTTACGCATATATAGATTCAAACACCAAACGTCAGTATCAGTATTCGTTCAATTAGATCTAAAACGAAAAATAAAAGATAAACAAATGAAATGCAGACAGATTCAGTCGGACAAAATTCTTCATGACTAGACGAGAAACTCCAACATCATTGAGATGATCAGTATCAATACTCATGTTTTACTTCCTGCATCTCCAAGCTGACACCGAAAACAGCGGTCGATCTTGCCAGGAAACCAACACGCAACCGTTCTCTTCCCTCATTCTATACCCGTTGCAACCATAGCCCTGCAGCATCCTCTTTGCCTGCAGCATTCCGTAATAGCTCAAGGGCACATTCCCAAAGCCCGCTAAATCAAGCCTTTGAATCCATTTCTCAAGCTTTTCGTGTCTTTCGATCCTCTCAGATCCCTCGCAAGCTATAATGTTTTTTATCTCCTCCCCGAACAGCATTTTCTCTACCTTCAGTCTCTCCAATGAGGTTCTCGGCATCGTAGACTCCAAGCAATCAAACAATGTAGCATACGAGTACAGAGCTTCCAGTAGTCTCTCCATAAGAGTGGATCCGTTATGGTTAGAATCTTGCTCGGTTATTACCATGACTTTCGGTGTCAAATCCCAAAATGCATTAAGAAAGCTATCCAATTTCGCCGAAGGAGTTAAAGAGAGCGGTGATGACGAGGTTGAATCAGGACTCGGGCTATTCCTGTTGCCCATCTCTTTCTCTAGCAACTCACCCAATGTGCCTTGGCTCATTTGCAATGCTCTTGGCAAGTGATTTCCATTTGAACCCTTTGATGCTAATGGGGATTTCCTTTTCAGGAGTTCATCATCCGACGCCAGAAGTGAGTGCAACTGGAGCACCGAGCTGATAGCTAGAGCCTCGCCAGTTTTGACGCGAAGTTTATCCATATCGAGATTTTCCAATTTGCTGACTATGGGACAGAACTGAAATGGGATATCCAATTTTTCGGCCACCTCAGTCAATCTATGAGCCATTTGATCAAGTACGTCTTTCTGTTGATGAACACCGGTGATTCTCAAATGCGGCGGACCTTCAGGCCTCGCACTTAGAACTTGAAGAAGAGCAATCCACTGTGCAGGTTCAGCTGCACTTAGATCAATTATATGCACCATCTTTTCCCCTTCCATGGCTTCCATAATAGCTTGGTTTGTGAGCACAACAGCGACCTTTAGGAAGGGAAGCATCTCGAAAAACACTTTCCGGACTAGAATTTCCTCCGAAACCAAAGATATTTTAGTGGAATTCAGGGCCGTGTGAAGACCGGGCCAAGCTTTGAGGATTCGATCAGCAAGAGCCTCGGTGAAGTAGGCAGCAATCCGCTGCATGGTATCACCGTCAGCAGAGGCGAGTTGGGAGATTTGCTCTAGGGCGGCATTTGCATTCTCAAGGCTTCCGGTGGCAACATGGTTTGCACAAGTGAGCAACAAGTGGATCAAATACAAACCGCGCTCCTCGGATTTTAGCTCCTTAAGCCAAGGGTACGGTGAGCCTAAACTAGGCGAAAGCGACATCGTGGAAAAGAATTGGAGAGGAGATGAAGGTGCAGACGATGACCCTTCGTCTTGAAACGTAGGTAATGAATTCGATAACAAAGTTAGCCGAATAATTCAGGGGATTTCTAAACAAGTATCCTATTCCAAGTGTTCATGCAAGAACCAAAATTGCATGAATTCCCAAGTTGAGAAAAATGTGTAACCAAAGTGCTTTCTGAACAAAATCAGGCCTTACCAATAGCACCTAATTAGCAGATTAAATTCAGAAAGAAAACTAATGAAATTCAGGAAGGAGGTCGCCGGAGAAGTGACAAACAGAACAACAGAAGCAGCTGAAGAAAGAAACTAGTTGCAGAAGAACTAACCAAGCGAAGAAAGAAGAAGGAAATCCTTACTGGGTTTTGTAATTGATCAAAAACCCAAGTAGAAGTTCGAAGCCCGTGAGAATTCAAGGAAAGCAGCCTCTTCAAATTCAATCTCTTTCTCTCTCTCTCTATCTCTCTCTCTCTCTCTCTCTCTCTCTCTGGAGCACAGAGCTGATATTCTTCTTCTGGGATTTTTTTGCTCTTTTTATCACAGTTGAAGGTTAATAAAACTAAAAGTTGGGAGCTTTGGAGGACGGACGGAACGTCATGGCTACGTTGTCGACAATGCGTGGCGGAGTCCTTTTGTCCTTATCCTTTTGTTGTCCTGCGTTCCCAAGTGGAACACGAAATTTGTGGGAAGATGAGCCTTTTCTTGCACCTTCAAATTTGTTTTTTTTTATTGTCACTATAGTTTAATGATATTAGGTGGAAGATTTTATATTTGATTTTTATAGATGGCGAAGTTCGAATCAAACTTTTTTGTTTTTTTATCAAACTATTATGGTTAGCTTATGCTTATCGTGCGATTTGGGTCAATCTCTCACCCTCTTGTCGGAAATATATTTTCAAAAAATTATGTTTACTCATTTTTGTTGAGACTGCGAGGCTAATAGAGAGAAAGGGATTTTTGTATGCGCCAATAAGAGGTTTGGTTATTTCTTAGCTAGTTGATTTTAGAATGAAATTTTAATTTCTTTCATGGTATCAAATTAGGTTATCCATTGTTGAACCCAACAATATGCCCACATTAGAAATTTAACTTTGCATGTCTTTATAAAAGTTGAGCCACTTCACACATTAATTCTATGATAAAAGTCTGAATTCCCTTCTATTTGTCTTTTTAAACCTTGCACTCACATCTCATATCAAAGAGCTGCCTCATTGTAATAGAATAAGTACACAGTACATGTCAAACTCAACACAAATATATACACATATACAGATCCTTTAATAAAAGGGGTCCCCATTTTTTTTTTTTCTTCAAAACATGGCGATTAGGTATGGAGTTCACTCCACATCGAATTTCAACGATCTGAACCGTCTATTTTTCAAGTTGCACTCATAGATCATCCTTGCAAAATATTAGCCAAATCGGAAATGTTTAAGACATCTAATTGAGTTCAAAGAAATTAACGAATACTTTGTTATATAAGAAGCAATGAAATTTTATCTTGATAATTAAATAAGCAAATGGTTTCGGATTGAATTGAATTTTTGCAAAGATGATCTATGAATCGAGACTTACAAAATAGACGGTTCGGATCGTTGAAGTTCGATATGGAGTGGGCCCCACACCTATAAATCCCTCCTGTTAAAGGATATGTGCACATATAAATAGATGGTATTTTCTCTCAAAACTCAAACTAACCTAGTTTATTGATTCTGTCTTGAGCGATCAGCGCTGGGCCAATGACTTGTTAATATGCACAAAGGTTGGAAGAATCCAAACACGCCCTAACAAAGACAAACAGCAAGAAAGCTCATTGGGTGCTGCCAAAAACAAACAAGGACTTGTTCTTATTTATTTTGTTTTGTTTTGAAATATGGCCATTTATGATAGGATGATGGCAATACAATTGGTATTTAAGTTGCAAATATTAAGACAAAGAGACAAGGAGGTTAGGCGACCCTCCATAAAGTAGATGCCGACATTTTTCTCTTTGTTTGACTGAATTAATTAACAAATTGTGTTTGAAATTTATAGTGCAAAATTTATGATGAAACTATTGTGCTCATTTCTCGTCAAAAATGAATTTGAATTATATTATTGCTAATCTATTATAAGGCTTAGTACACTCTCCACCGTTTTAGTATAGATAATATCGTTTCTTAATAAATAAATAAAACTATGTGCTCCTTTTGGGACTGGATTTTGTATTCTCATTTTGTAATTTATAGATGTTAACATCAACTTTTCATTACTTAACTTTCAAAGTACACAATCAACACCGCATCATATTGGATCAACTAAAGAATTGTAGCAGAAGGTTTCGTACAGTTGTTGAAAGTTAAGCCTTCCACCATTAACATGGGGGTCTTTCATAACTAGAATGTTACTGCTTCTTCATCTCTAAGTTGTTTGTTACGTTCCCTGCGTGGCTTAGGCTTTGGTTTTTAGGTTTTCCCTTTTGTTTGCTGGTGCTTTGAATTTTCTTCTTTGCCCAGTTCTTTGTTGTTCTATTTGGGCTTTTGTCCATTTAATATATTATTTATTTAACAAAAAAAAAAAACTTTTTATGACTTTTTATCCCTTTCTTCAAATCTTCCCCATTGAAATTTGATCCAACGGCTAAAGTTATTATAACTTTTAAAGTAGGCTCTTATTTGTAGTAGTTGGATCAAACTTTAAGGATCCAGATTAGTTGATAAAGAAAATTTGATGAAAGAAATCCGGAGATGATCCCTTTCTAAGACAGATGACGAGAAATGATGGGTTTGGTTAGGTGTATCCAAGATTTTGAAAAAATCGCAACCGCAATATAAAAATCGTTCACTCAAAGGTGAAGGTGAAGATGAGAGGTTTGTAGTAATCCCTTTAATTGCTGTAATATTTTCAACGACAAGGGATAGGAGGGCTTTGCTTGTTTATTGCAAACGATATTTTACACTTTTATATTTAGAGGGGATGAGAATTTAAACTCCAAACATAGACAATTTCACTATTTTATAGGCAAGTTTCACACTTCTTTGTTGTGGTCTAATACTATCTTTATTTACAACTGGATGGCCTTAGGCTCAACTCCTAATGAATGACAGATTTCAAATATCAAATTATTGCTAGTTATTATGTGAGTAATTGCATTTATTTATTTATTTATTTATTTTTAGTAAAGCATTAGTGTTAGTGGGTTAAATAGTAACTTGCAAGGGAGAGGAGAATTAGTGGAATTGTGTCAGGTTCCCAAGCGCAAGGGAAGAACCCAACCCAAAAGACTAGTCCAATAGGTGGGAGGACCGAAGAACTTAAAAACCCCTACACCCCTAAAAGTGTACTCGATGTGAGATCATAACATTACACCACCCTTCAAAAGCCGACGCCCACGACGGCCCTTACTTTGATGACTTTCACTCTTAACGGTAGCGCACCCTTTGGTCGTCCCGTTAAGGTAGCCCTTTCCAGGTTGCCCCCTCCGCCGCATCAGGAACCTAGGCTCTGATACCAACGTTAGGTTCTCAAGCCCAAGGGAAGAGCCCAACTCAAAAGACTAGTCTAATAGGTGGGAGGACCCCAAGGACTTAAGAACCCCTACATCCCCCTAAATGTAGTTGATGTGGGATCATAACAAATTGAACCCGTATAGAGTTCTTAGACATAATTGCTTTCCGACATTACGGTACTTAGGCATCTGTTTTTGTTTATGTTTACTTGTCTTGAATGAAAAACTTGAGGTATAAGAAATTTCAAAGTAATCGAAATTAAACTGACAAGTGGACAATTGGGGAACATTAGAAATGCATAGCAGAAGTGTTTGGAAAGGGGACACCTGATTTCTCACCGAAATTTGTAGTTTATTACAGAACAATAAGCACATTATTCACTCATTCAGCAGCTTCCATCTCCTACAAAATGTAAGCGACAAAGACTCCCAAGAAAATAAGCACATAAATTAACCATAAATGAATTTAGTGTATAGATTATTTTATCGTTTGCAAAAATAAATTGTTTTAGTTTTATTTTGTTCTTGTTTTTCGGTAGTAGGAAGGTGCTGTATTGTGTAAATACTGACATTAAAGCTTACGTAAGTACTATGGCAGTAATGTACACTAGAAACTCGCTGCTTGGCCTTTTCAACATTGCCACATTTATCATCACATAGTGAAAGTAATAAACGAATCGCCATGAAGGAAGATTAACTCAACTGGTCATAATGATCGGTTTCCAGATCCCGTTGAAAATATTTTGAGCCCTATAACGCCGACTCTGCACCACCTGTAAAAAATATATCCGGTTTTTGTTACTGAAGGCAGCTCAGTCGCATCAGTTTAGTGAAATAATCTCGTGTGTGCACAAGACACCTTAACTGTATCATTCGAATCATGTATAACTTGAGTGTTCAGTAAAATTCTCCATGTAATTCTCGACTGACTGCTTTTAAATGGAACTACTAGTGGAATACCAATAACGTGGGCACACATTTAGTGCTTGTAGCTTATACATTATCAGGAAACACCAGCAACCGATTATCCTCTCAAAAAGTACACACAGTTGATAATCAGAATGATAATAGAGTTTCTTGACTAGTTGAAAATTGAAGGCTTTTCGTTAAAAAGTTTCCAAGAGGATGTCATCCCGTGTACACAGAACATGATACAATGACTTAAAGAGGCAAAGACAAGAAAATAGTAAAAGACTCTAAAGGGTTCTAGTCTTTATGTCCAAGGAGGAGTGTTTCAATCTAAACATTGACACCAAAAGATACCAAAGAAGTTTACTTTCATTAATTTTTAAACAATCTACCTTGCTATCATGTCTTTAACCGATCTGCCCAAAAATACCACAAATTTCAAATCTAGCACCAAACTTCCCAAACTGGACAATGAATAAGTAAAAAACCTTCTTCAGCTTTCTTGTACATGTAACATTTCCACTCATAAACCCTCCCCCTAACATATGGCATTAACACCTAAAGTACGGTGCTACTTTTTGGATGCTTCTGATAACAACCATTAACAGGCTGCACTGTTCTTTTAACCAATCTCCAGCCACACTCAGCACTGCTTGGTGGCTTCCCTTTCTGACTATTATGTGAGGTCATGCTTACATACGTTGAAAAATATTTTTCTTCTATAATAAACACATGGATGTATCCTCATTATTATCGCAGAACAACAGAACATTACCTACCTTTATTTTTGCGTTCTCTAGTCTTCGCAAGTGCTACAGCAACTTTAGCTCCAACAAGTGCATTGTTCTTCACCAGTGCAATGTCTATGTTGGTTAAGAAACTGAGTTGATAAATCAAACATATGCAAAAAAATTTAAATGACATTTTATGAGAGTTTCACTTTAAGAAACCCTCCAATGTTCCTTAGGATTGGATGAGTCAACGCCATACGTTAGGAGTTAGAAATTGTATATCATTGTTGTGCAAAGAAGAATATATAAAGGATACTCGAAGCCAATGAAGCTCCTCCCGTTAGCTCATTCACTCTCTTGAGCAAGAATGGAGTTGCATCATTTCCTATTATGTTCTTATCCCTGAGAACACAACTTCAATTAGTATTGATTAAAGATAACATTTCACTGAAGATTACTCATGGCAAGAAAACAACATTTTACCTAGCTTCGTCAAGGGCTCTCTGTATTGCAGACTCAATTAAACTTCCAGAAGCTGAGTGCTCTTTAGGAATTGGAACAGCAATCAAAATCCCACCTCCAAGCTCAAGTTTCAGATTTGCATCTATAAAGAAAATATATGTGTGTGTGAGAACTGAGAAAGGAGTATTAATGTAAGTTTTACATATAATTACAAGGAAGAAAGATAAATTGATTTGTAACTTGCCTATAAGCTGAGCACAGTCTTCTGGGGTATCTACACGGCAAGGCACCTAGATTACAGGTAATGATTGAATAAAAGAAATAACAAAAAAATTAGTCATATACATATTTGAACTAAATTATGTTACCTTATGAACCTGTGGACATAATTGGTGCAACCCTTTAAAGCTGTTTTTGCACACATACTTCTTTCATTCCATGTGTTATCACCACAAAGTTTTCTATATTTGACACTTAGTTTAACAAAGTAAAATGATGATTCTCTAGTTCTAACAGTGGCCCATTTTTCAATAAGTAGAGGATTGAATCTATCCTCTTCCCATCCCTCCCATGCCAAATGGGATAAGGTTCGTGAGCCTGCAGTTTGACCATTTTGATCGCACTGATAGAGAGGCTGACACCCATTTTAATCGAGGGGCAACTTTGCATCCTACTAAGGAATATGGTAATAAGGATGATTCGATATATCTAGCTTATCATTTTCCAGCCATCAAGTGATAAAATGAAATCAACACTACTTGGATGGCCTTCATTCCACAATTAGTTGAAGCACCATTTTTGAACATGAATTTGATTAAACAGATAAAAGAAAAGAGCAAGAACATTGGACACACCATTGTTGTTATAAGGAGAAAAATAACACTTTCAAAGAGTTGACGATCAATACCTTACAACCACTCGTTTCTGTAAAAAATGCTGGAAATTCGTTGGTCCTATAAGCAGCAACGCAAACTCCCTGAGTCTCCTATCTCAGAAAAAGGTTAAAAAAAACAGTTATTTATAGCTCATAATCTGTATGACTTACTTCTAATGATATAAATGAGATACGTAGTGCTAACCAAATATTCAAGGGTCCTTGGGATATCCAATATTGATTTTACACCAGCAGAGATGACAGCTACTGGTGTCCTTCCAAGCTCAGTAAGATCAGAAGATATGTCCATTGCTGCAAAAAGGAAGAAATAAAATTTTATAACATTTCATCCCATTATCACCGTAACTTTTTGTAAGTCAGCGGTGCCAACATGTTTGTGCATGTTAAGTTGTGCAAGAATTATTTTCATTTCTACATGAGCCAAATATGCGACAGCACATGACAATCAAAGAGTCTTTAGTTTCAAAGATTATGCCTTCAACAGTATAGGGTTAGTTCAGTTTGTAATTAAGCTCTTACAGGTGGCTGTAACTGCAGGGCCAGTAGTTGAGTTTCACAAAACTTAGTCATACTTTTATATTCTCCCTTAGTCAACTCTGCACTGGGGTTTTTTCTGAATTTTAGTACTTGTGATATTTCCTTGGGAATCAAGTTAGTAACTTAGTACTGACCTTGTAGCCCTAATAGGAAAACGTAGTTTAATATTAAAATATGCTTCTTTATACCTAAAGACTTATCATTGTGATAAATGGGATATTCACTTTGCTGAGTGTGTAACATATGTGAATGGAGTCGGTATACTTTCATAAATTTGTTAATGTTCACAGCCCTACAGCCCTTAAAACTCAAAAATCGTCACCTTCCCGCACAAGCCGTACAGACAGATAACTAGAAAACCATAACCCTAAACCTCTCAACCATCTGTATAAGACCTAACTATCCCAAAAGCAAGACACATAGGTTCCTAATCTCTCCTACATTAGTTCTTTTGCCTACTGCATTGCTTACTGTGCTCCAGTATAGGTCATTTGGTGGACCATAAACCCATGTAACGCAGAAGCTATATGATTTGGCTTGCAATAAGAAGGAAAAATTGCCATTGTACACATTAGGAATATGCTGTCTGTAGTCATGACTCTGACTACTAATATCCAAAAGCATGGGTGGACATATGGACAAATTCAATTTCTCTCATGAACTGTCAGTAATTCTATGCAGCGTTAAACTTACTATGCTCGCCATGTCTATGTACTCCTCCAATTCCTCCAGTAACAAACAATGGGATGCCAACCTTCAAGACATCCAGGTTTTAAGTATTAACAAAACATACATTAATATTACAACACAAAGTAAACAACAACATAGTCCTTCAGGAAAGCTTATAAGCAACTAATTACCATGGAAGCAAAAAACATGGTTGCAGAAACAGTAGTTGCTCCATTCCCTCTGGTTGCCACCTAGACAAGAGTCAGCACATCCTCTTGTTAAATTTAGCATTAGAAATTACCATGAAAAAACTATGACGATGGTTGAGGAATTCCATTTGTCAGAAACTTCTTGAATGTACATGATAACAGAGTAGGGAACCCCTTAACTATGTGGCTATGAAGGCTATTTTATGGATGCACCAGCATAATAATAAAAGATGGCTAGCAAACACTTTTCCAGAAGTAAGTGCAACGCCACTGATTGAAGCCTACAAAAATGAATATTTTCCGCACAGTCTAGTCACTAAAAGCATAAAGGGAAAGTTAAAGAGCCAGATTTGAAAAAGCAGCATTCTTTTCTCTCTTTAATAAATGGCGGTTAGGTATTGAGGCATATTTTCATGAATTATGCTGGTGTAAATTTGCCACTTCAGGTATGTGTTCTAATATCCCCTTATATTGGTTGCAGCACAAATGAAAATATGAAACTAAAAACAGTCAACATGATGAATTGACTAGATTTGCTAAAACTAACAAACGCAGTAAGTGCAATGCATCAATTACTCACAACATGTGCAATATCCCTTCGAGCTGTCTTCTGAACTTTATGACCCAGATTGGCAAGCTTCTCCAATTCTTCCATACTCAGACCTACAAAAAGAAATAAAAAGAAAAGGCGGAATCAAGTCAGCAAGAATCCCCTACAGTAGCATTGTCTAACAAGAATTTTCTTAGCAGATGAGTCTTAACCATAGCATTAGAATACTCTACACTTTTTCCTGAATTCAAAAAGCTGAAGCGTTGATAAAAGCTTTCAATGAATTGGACTAAGAAACATACATAAAAAATGCAACCAGATACTTTATAACGACAAAGTGAAATGTATAAACTTGGGGGACTTATTTTAACTTGGTTGTGTGCTAAAACTTACAAACAGGGTAGCTTGTCAAGTTACAACTACCTTATTGGACAATATCTGTGCAAGTAAATTTGTAATCTTATTTGTTTGGAGGGTATCACCAACCGACGCAGTTAAGATCAGTGCACCAAAACTCACTCAGTAGAATTATTTTTCGATTCAGTGAGAGAAAACATAGCACAATCATAAGAAGGCATAGAATTAACATAAGCCACCTCTCCAAGCCTATAAATTCATCTAGAAAGAAGAAGAACAAAGTTGAATATAAACACCTATGCAAGGTACGCCATCCAAAATGGCAACAGTGGCAGGAACAGCTCCATTGTCCCTCACAACTGCCTCAACCTCCTTTGCTGTTTCCAAGTTCTTAGGATAAGGCATCCCTGAACACCAGAAGAAAAACAAACAATTTTGAGCAAAAAATTCACAGCGGCAGTTCCTCACATACACACAAACCATCCTTCAACATATCACACACATTCAGCTATCGATACATGGCCAATCTCCTGTTTCCGCCACTCAAAACCGCAACCATATATTTGGAGTATTGCAAACTGCCGGGTACGATGTATCGAAGGTAAAATGAAATATGATACCATATGCAAAAACCCAATTGGGTTTCGTTCAGAATGTTACTACAAACTCAATAGCAGAGGACAGTAGATCAAAAAATACTTAACTGACAGTACAATGGATTACGCAATTACCATTATTTTTAATACAAGCGAAATTACTGCTTTAACTCAGACTAGGGGAGGGGGAGGATTTGAACCAGGGACACAGTGGGTTGAAGAAGAAGAAAGGCCCCGGCACCAGGACAATCCACCACTTGCAGTACACAATTAGTTTCTGTGTGTGTGTGTGTGTAGAGAGAGAGGGAGAGAGAGGGAGAGAGAGGGAGAGAGAGATTACCATGGGAAATAATGGTAGATTCAAGAGCGACAACAGCACGGCCATTGGACAAAGCGTCAGAAACCTCTGGAGAAATCTTGATAGATCCGACGCCACCCTTAAGGAAGAAAAGGAAGGAACAAAACTCTGACTCTGTGAAATTTGGAAGACAATCTAAATAGAGAGAGAGAGAGAGAGAGAGAGAGAGAGAGGAAGAAGAAGAAGAAGAAGAAGAAGAGGAAGGAAGTTGGATTGTTACCTTGTCGAAATGCGAGGGATGGAGGTGTTTACGGAGATTAGAGAGTCTTGAGAAAGCAGCTGATGAAGAAGAAGAGGACGACGCCATACCCTGCTCCCTTTGCTGTGATGGTTTTCCCTACCGCACCACTTGATTCCTACTACCCAAACCTTACTTTTTCCCCCAACTTATTATAGTCGATCACCACCCGCCGTTGGATTTCCGAATTTTCATCCGTCTTTCTGTTCAAATCTATCACGCGGCCAAGCACACCCTCCACGGATAAGGGTAAAAGGGTAATATCAACATACCAGCTCAATTGCTCCGTTCTCCTCCTCCAATGCTCTGGCGACGGCACCCTGGCATCCACTCCACTTCTTCTCCCTCTCGACCCCTTCCGTAGTGACATCTGCCTCGGCCCTTGCGCCAAGGTCAAAGGTGCCTTTCTCATTTTATTCACCTCCGTCGACGGCAATGCCCTCGTCACCGTCTACGGTATGGACGTACATTGCCCTTGGAGTGAGAGTTTGTCCTTTCGATTGGCTAGGGTCACCTCCACCGCGTTTTCAAATGGTCTTCCGCCACACCATTGCGATTACGCTCATGGGGGCCAAAAATCTCACCAAATACTAATACGTGCCAACAATGGTGAAGCTAGGAATTAACAGGAAGGGGCGAAGTTAAAAGAGTCCAATGTTCAAAAGAATAAAAATAACCAAATGCTTTTATATAGTAATGTCTTCCATAATTTATCAATACAAATAAATTACAATTGTTGCTGACGAGATTTCATATCATGAAAACGCCGCATAATGGACTTATTATCAATAAAAGCAATACATCTCTTTCAATGTAAACAAGCATGTTATCACTCAACCATTGATCTCCCATATTGTTACGCAATGGTGTTTTCACAATCTTCATAGCAGAAAAAGCTCTCTCCATCGAAATGGCTGTAACCGGTAACACCAAAGCCAATTTAAAAAGCTTATACACTAACATATAGTTTGCACACCTCCCAGTCTTCACCAACTCCTTTGCAAGATCACCAATTCCTCTCATTGATGAAAACTCACTATGCATCTTCATATTGTTAATGTAATTGTCAAGTTGAATTGGAAGATTCATAAGTTTCATATAATCAAAATCTTGAAGATAAAGTTAGGCTAGACGAACAATTTTTGCTTTGTCAAAAGATGTAAAATCAAGGACGTATAAGACTAATCTCTTGATTTAATCCTCTACCCATTTCAAGATCACCAATATCAAGAGCTTTCTTAATTTGTTCTAGTTGTTTCTCTTTAAATGAATCACGACGCTTACACGATGATCCAATAGTATTGACCAAAATACTAGCATTGTTAAAGAAAATGGCGACACCCTGATGCGATATTTATACGCACACAAACTAAACCCTATTTGTGACAATTGTAGTAATGATGTAAGTAGGGATCGTTCTAACCGGGGATTAACTAGGGATGCTAAATACTTGACTCAAATAAATAAAACTAACTTTTAAAACACTAAGACAAACTAAAAGACTCAAAACAAGTTTAAAAGACTCCAAATACTCAAAAACATAAAATAAGACAAATCAAATCAATAAGACTTAACAAAATAAGGGGGGTGATTGTGGTTGGACGAGATTAAATTAAACGGACAGATTATAATTTAAAACAGATAGTAAAGATGAATGTGATGAAAATATGGATGATGGAATAGCCAAGGGGTTCTTCTCCACACATGTTACACTTGCATAAAATATTGATTCTCAGTTGGTCTTTCAATAAGTTGTGAAACTCAATGCTCCAAGTTAATTAGGTCCGCTTAAATTAACTTTCAGATTTCCCTAAATTCATTGGATTGAATGGAATACGCATTACAACCAAATTATTCTTAATCAAAGTCCCTAACTATGGAATACGCATGATAGAGACATTCAACAAAGATCATTAAGTTCAATGAAAATTATAAGTGTTGACGAGGCATTCGTTACTATGGAATACGCATGAAACTTATGCCAAGAATTCGTTTAACGCGATTGTTTATAAGCAACCTCCACTACTTGTGAATATAAGTTCATAACGATTAGGTGAAACTCACTTATATTCTAGCGTCATATTCATGCATGAAAATTAAGCTTGCAATCTCAATGAACATACATAAATACGTTATCCATCAAACAGTTAAACGAATTGAATCCACAACTTATGAAATTCCAACCAAAAGTAATTAATTCATATTGCAAATATAAACATAGTTTCGAATCACCCCCTAGCTAAAGGGGGTTTAGTTCCTCATATCTTTGAAATCAAAGAAACACCTAAACATTCCAACAACTCAAAATTTGAATTGTATGAACGTTTAGGCACTCTTCTCTTCCTCGTTGTTGTAGCACAAGGTTTAAGGATAGGTTGGTTGATGGGATGGAAGTGTGGAATGGAGTGGAAATGGAGAAAATGGAGAAGGGGAAATGTTTGTGTATTACAATGGAAAATGAGATTATGGTGCGGATTCCTCTCCTCTTAAACATGAATGAGTGATAGGTATATATAGGTGGAAGTGCATGGATTGATGAAGATTAGTGGGAGATAATGGCAATGCATGGATAATGGATAATGAGAAGTGGACGATTAATGGGAAGTGGAGAGATGGTTTGCACGGTTTTGGGTGGATTAAATGGATGGCTATGGATTAAAGGGAATTAAGGGGTGGTGCGGCTGAATGAATAATGGGAGTATTATAATGGAGTGAATGGCTTAATGGTTGAATAATGGGAGTGTTAGGTTTTTATTAATAATGGGAGGTCACGGCTTGAAACTTTTCTTTTGTTAAATGGGGGGGGGGGGGTTTAGTGGGAAGGTATAATGGCATATTAGGGTGATGGAATAGATAATAAAATGGCATGAATGGGTGCTCCGAATTAGGGAATAGAATATTAGGGTTATGGAATTATGGTGGCTGATTAATGCACGGTTTTGGATTAAAGGGAATTAGGGTTTATGGATGATGGATAGGAATGGTGGGATGCACGGCTTAGGAGGAAGATTGTGTGATGCATAGTTTTGGACGTTCATTCCTCGTGCTCTATTTGCGTACACCACATTCCAGCTCAGTTTTGCTCCAAAAGCTCCAAATTGCATCATTTCATGTAATATGTCCTTTAAACCTGAAAACATATGAAAGTAGCTTAAAAGACTACTTTAACGAAGAAAACATAACAAAAATGCATAAGAACTAGCTAACTAAGGCGCATAAATATGCTCCTATCAAATTCCCCCACACTTAACTTTTGCTAGTCCTCGAGCAAAACAAAACAACTAAAGTAAACAAAACGAAACAAAACAAAGAAAACAACCTAAACCTTCCAACGTTTGCCTCAGGGATTTCCAATGAAACATGACATGTCAAAGATCATTACTCACATAGCTTTTAGTCCTACTTCCCCTTAAGCACATACTTTAATCATAGTCACCATTCACTAGTTCGCATTTAATCAATTAAAACATATTTTGAATGTAGTAACATGCCTTAGAGAATTCCCTCAATTCCTCACTCGTTATGCACTCAATTTTCACTCAAATTTTCTGACTACACACCCTACACTAGTTATATGTGAGAAGATTGATGTAAACATGAAAGACTAGTACTCACATACGTTATACAAAGAAAGCAATTTCGGGAGTAATTAAACGTGTATGGATATGATCTCATGAATGGGATTCTACTACTTAGATGCGAGAACCAGTGATACCATATGCTCATACCAAATTCAAACTCCACAATTGAAATGCACAACACTCAAGATAGAAGTCAAGGGTTGTAACGGGGCTTGGGGTATTGGCTCACAAGGGAAGGTAGGGATAAACAAAAGTTCTTTAAGCAATAGCAAGTAAAGCAATGAAATTAAGACCTAGAATTCCCTTAGAATGCAAAAATCAACTTTTAGACAAATAGGGGAAACACAAACAACTCTTAGGGCCTAATTCATTGTTTTGGGCCCTTACTTCAACAACCAATACTTTTCAATTTTTTTTTTTTTTTTTTTTTTTTTTTTTTTTTTTTTTTAACCGTGCCTATGGCATAAAAAAAAAAACTCACATAAATACACTTTCCCCCACACTTATTTCCTGCAACACATTAATCAAAAGGAATTCATTGCTTACTATGCTTCAAGAACAAGGGTAAGGATGGTCCTAATCTAGGCTAGGTGAGGATAATGCGGGTTAACAAAGAAAGTAGGCTAGACAAGGCTCAACGGGGTTAAATCCTATAAAACAAATGAAAAGGGAAATATGGCAATTTGGCTATGGTGTTCACTACACAACTTCATCTTGAATACGTGTTATGCAAATCAATGACATGCTTTGAATGAAATGGGCATGAGTTCTAGCATTTGGAACTAAGTGATGAAACGCCTTCTAAGTAGCAACCAAGCAAAGAATAATGAGATCATGCAACGACTTTAGAAAACAAAGAATGCACAGATTTTAACTCTCCAAATAAACATTTAAGCTCAAGTCTCACAGGGATGTAGTGTTAGTTTGAGCTCATTCCTTCAAGCATGTTATAAAAACTAATTTTTTTCTTTGTGATTGCATGTGAATTCGTGAACTATAACTACAACCAAGCATAAACCAAAGAGTATATCAAACGTCCATCCATGTTTGTAACTTTCTTTAACCGTCATGCAATTAAAAACCAAATCCTCATCATTGTGTTGGAAGGTAACCTACGACACAAACACACAAAAACAACTCTTTTTGGTTTTTCAAAACAATTTTTCAAATTTTTATGGGATTTTCGAATTTTTAAGTCAAAACACATTAAAACAGTTTAAAAACATTTTAAAACAGCAAGGATCAATACTTGAAGTTATGGGTGATAAAATCCAACAAATTTGCATCAACATACTTAGTTACCCCCCCACACTTAAATCAAACATTGTCCTCAATGTTTTAAGCTTAAAACACACCAAACAAAAGAAAACATATAAAACAGCAACTAAACATACTAAACATGGCAGAATGTAATTAACAAAGAGAAGAGTTTAGGTACGCAAATCTGGTTATGGAGTGTAAATTCCCTCTTCTCCTTGGTGATTGCATTGAGACTTGATGTTGTTGATTCCACAGGGGTTCTCTCGAACTGGTTGCCACCCATCGTTGATTTTCCTTTGTGCTACTCTTGATCTGGGCAGCAGGATTCCCTTTAGGGTCTCCCCCGAAGGTCTGAGCTTTCCCCCTTTATCTGTTTCTTTGTTCAATCTTTGCAGGAGTGGTCCCTTCTCTGGAAGTGTATCAACCGTTGAAGATGACTACTCGAGAGCAACGCTAGGTAAGCAATCAGGAATAGGTTCCAGGCAGTTGGCTCCAGATCGGAAGACTGACTCCAAGTGCCGGCTGATTGCTTCTTTCACTTTGCCATGCGAGTAAGAACAAGGACAAAGAAAAAGACAGGGAAAGAGCATGATATGAGATACTTTTGCTTTTGACCTTTATGATATGAGATACCTTTGCTTTTGAAGAAGCGGTGCATGAATCAGCATATG